CTGGTCAGCTGTCACAAGTCACTGATACTGTACTGGTCAGCTGTGACAAGTCACTGATGCTGTACTGGTCAGCTGTCACAAGTCACTGATGCTGTACTGGTCAGCTGTCACAAGTCACTGATACTGGTCAGCGATGACAAGTCACTGATACTGTACTGGTCAGCTGTCACAAGTCAATGATACTGGTCAGTGGTGACAAGTCACTGTTTCTATAATGGTCTGGGTTTTTTAATGATGTAACAAAAGCAAACATGATATATTTTGACTATTAGTCTACTCCACTGAAACATGTAAGATGCATTAAAGAAATGAGTAATCATGATGTGTTGTGTAATAATATGCCGGTCCTAAATGAAGCAGGTTGAGGACATATATGGACAGTGTACTTATATGGAGAACAGTTGTACTGTGTGGGATAGGTGAAAGCCCGCTGTACGTCAGATCCTGGCTGCATGCCGGGAATACCGGGAACACCTGGCTGGCTGTGCTGCATGCTGAGTAAACACAGGCCCTGGGTAGATGTGTCCGCATGGAGGAGATAGTTGTGCTGTGTGGAGTGGGGTGGGTCGGTCTGTCGGTATGGGGTCGGTACGCCTGTCAGCGTGGGGTGGGTAGTTGTGTAGGTGGAGGCATGATAAATATGTTGGTAAGGGGTGAGTACAGGCCTATCAGTATCAGGTGGGTAGTTGTGCAGGTGAGGGTAAACCTGTCGGTGATGGGTGGGTATAAAGAGAAGGGTGGATAAATATGGTTGGTAGTTGTGGGGTGGAGAGCTTGATAAATGTGTCATGGGTGGGTAGGCCTGTCAGTGTGGGGTGGGTAGTTGTGGAGGTGGAAGCTTGATAAATGTGTCTGTGTGGGGTGGGTAGGCCTCTCAGTGTGGGGTGGGTAGTTGTGGAGGTGGAAGCTTGATAAATGTGGCTGTGTGGGTTGGGTAGGCCTGTCAGTGTGGGGTGGGTAGTTGTGGAGGTGGAAGCTTGATAAATGTGTCTGTGTGGGTTGGGTAGGCCTGTCAGTGTGGGGTGGAGTAGTTGTGGAGGTGGAAGCTTGATAAATGTGTCTGTGTGGGGTGGGTAGGCCTGTCAGTGTTGGGTGGGTAGTTGTGGAGGTGGAGGCTTGATAAATGTGTCTGTGTGGGGTCAAGGTAGGACTCTCAGTGTGGGATGGGTAGTTGTGGAGGTGGGAGCTTGATAAATGTGTGTCTGTGTGGGGTGGGTAGGCCTCTCAGTGTGGGGTGGGTAGTTGTGGAGGTGGGAGCTTGATAAATGTGTGTCTGTGTGGGGTGGGTAGTTGTGGAGGTGGAAGCTTGATAAATGTGTTGGGGTGGGGGTGGGGTGTCCTATCAGTGTGGGGTGGGTAGTTGTGGAGGTGGAAGCTTGATAAATGTGTCTGTGTGGGGTGGGTAGGCCTGTCAGTGTTGGGTGGAGTAGTTGTGGAGGTGGAGGCTTGATAAATGTGTCTGTGTGGGGTGGGTAGGCCTGTCAGTGTGGGGTGGAGTAGTTGTGGAGGTGGAAGCTTGATAAATGTGTCTGTGTGGGGTGGGAAAGGCCTCTCAGTGTGGGATGGGTAGGCCTGTCAGTGTTGGGTGGGTAGTTGTGGAGGTGGAGGCTTGATAAATGTGTCTGTGTGGGTTGGGGTGGCCTATCAGTGTGGGATATGTAGGCCCGTCAGTGTGGGGTGGGTATAAGGGTGGGTGGGATGGATAGTTGTGTAGATTTTGGGTGGATGTACAGTAGGCATGTTGGGGATTAATGGGTTGATATAGGATGGATGGGTAACGGAAGTATATGTAGCTGAGGAATTGTTAGATTTGTAGGCATGGTTTAGACAGGTTTATTGAGTTAGGGGGGTTGGGGGATTTGTAGGCATGAGTCAGATAAATGTATAGGCATGGGTCAGACCATTGTGTTGGGTCAAATATGTTGAGGCATGGAAAGAACAGATCTGTAGGCATGGGATAATTATGTTGGAGCATGGAAAGGACAGGTCTGTAGGCATGGGTCTGACTGATTAATGGTTTCGATAGATGTTTAGGCATAGAGTTGATAAATATGTAGGCACAGATCAAATATGTTGAGGTATGGAGAAGACATGTCTGTAGACATGGGATAATATGTTGAGGGATGGAGAGGACAGATCTGTAGGCATGGGATAAATATGTTGAGGGATGGAAAGGACAGGTCTGTAGGCATGGGATAAATATGTTGAGGCATGGAAAGGACAGGTCTGTAGGCATGGGATAAATATGTTGAGGCATGGAGAGGACAGATCTGTAGGCATGGGATAAATATATTGAGGCATGGAGAGGACAGATCTTTAGGCATGGGATAAATATATTGAAGCCTGGAGAGGACAGATCTGTAGACATGGGAAAAATATGTAGGCATGGGTCTTAGTGATGAATAGCCATGGAGTGGGTAGATAAGATACTATCTGTACAACAGACTACTGATCCATGGCGTTCTGTTTTTATATTAAGACATTATAATCCTCCCAAATACCTGTATACAACAGTCACAGGAGACATTGTTGTCATGTCATACGAACCTGTATTACAGTTGGGGCCTGTATGCTGCAGGCAGTTTGAGAAGCCCGGGTTGTTTCACTGGGGAATTTATGGACATGAACTAACTGTTTTATATCTGGAGCTCTGTGTGATATCTCTGTCAAGATAATGCAGTTGTCCCTTGTGGATTGACAGTATAATCTCTGTCAATAATTTACGTTGATCATTTTTAACAGAGCATTATTGTTGCTGTGGAGATGTTAGAGTGAATTTGGGTCATCATCTGAAACATTTTAGCAACAGATGTCTTCATTACATTAACTTTCACTTTGTTAAATTACTTTGGATTTCTTTGCTGTCAGAATGTGTCAGTATAAGTATGCATTTAATTTGGATACAAATATCAGCTGTAAATTATCATGTTAAGTTTGATGTGTAAATTCCTATATTATGTACATATATCTTTCAGATCACACCCAGTTAGTATTTGTAAAATTCTGGTGCCTTTATTTCATGTGTTCAGTGCTGACTAGTCAGTGTTCATCTCACCCTTGACCGTAATTTAGAATCATCATTCATGTCCAACAAAGGAGATGACCCAGCTCGAATAGTATTTCACATTCTCGCTCATTTACAATGACAAAGGTCAAATATATTTTCTTATTACAATGATGTTCATACACTAGAATTTCTGCATTATGGGAAGCATATCAAGTCCTGTTTTACTGGTGACACAGATACAACACATCGGTTGTTTATAATGTTAAGACAGTGTGAAGTCATATGTCAGCTTATTCACAGTTAAGACACATGTGATTTTAAGGATTTTGAAACGGTGTCAGAAGTCTTTCAGCCTTAGGCTCACTTTTGACATGGGAGTTAAGGGATGTCAAACGTATGAATAGTACTGCAAATCCTAGATTAAAAGCCGGCATGAATTAATGCTGGATTCGAGCCCTGTCACAAATATGAATATCTGCCTTGAATAATGCTTGGTCAAATTTGATCAGAGCACACCAAGTGAAAATTTGAGAGATGGAAGATTATTTCTGTATTTGAAAATGGAATTCAGGTGTTTAAAATAATGTTGAATGGGTTACTGTTTCTGGTTTGGAATAAACTTTTGCAACACAGGGTTCAGAGAAAAGATACATGGTGTCTAATGATGGAATTACGGGCGGTTCAGTGTTGAGGTCGGGTGTTAGATTTGCCACTGGTTGACTGACAGATGGCACAGTGTTCTCAGAACATGTCTCCTTCCCTGTGTCCCTCCTGGGGATGGCACAGGGAGGACATGGAGCCGAGATGAAGGTCAAGGACAGTTATCATCTGACTGTAGGTCTCAATCTCACATTTGGTCATCATGTAACATGTTGCTATCAGTTTTTAATAGGGTCATGACTTGGGAAGGATGCACAGAGGGTCTCTGAAACTCTGAATGGGTACTTTTCAATAGTCCTTGTTTCAGCTATTACCAGCTCAGGAAATTGGACTGCTATAAGATTTTGTTGAAATTCAACCACTGTCTGTGATTCTTTTTTAATGTCTACTGAACATCATGAATAAGTCATAGAATAAGACATATTTTCAGAAGAGCTTATGGTTGCACATAATAAGAAGTATAACTTGTGTGTGATTTCTCTGGGAAAGGTTTGGTTGGTTGTAAAAATGATGTCACCATCAGTTTCATAGGGCTTGAAAAGAACTGAGTGCAATTTTGTTTGCTAATTAAAATCAATATGTATTTTCCTACAGACTTAAGGTCAGTTTTAAAGAGCGAAAAATGCATAACATTGGAAGACAGATCCAAGATGAAATCACACACACTGTTTTTGGCCTCTGAAGCAAAACTATTTCAAGCTATGGTCTTAAGCTGTCAACTCAGTGATGCACAACAGATTTTTTCATTAGCTGATGTGCAGATTTAATGGTAGTGAGTGTCTAGTATGTAGACTAGTATGTATGTCTATGTCAGGAAGCAGTCAGCCACAACTTGAACATCAATCAGTAGCGACCAAACAGGTCGAAATCTTTCTGTTAATACCACAAATATAACAACTTAATAATACAAATATCACATTTCACATAATGTTCACTGTGTAAAACGACCTTTCATCTTGATTTTCTTAAATAAAAAATAAAATAAAAATAACATTTAATGCCCATAGCTTTTGTGACTAACATCCTGGAAATAAATCACCTGCTGCTGTCGGTCGTATTCCACATGAATGTCTGTATGACTAATCCCCTGAGTAGACAACTGTGGGCACCCAATGTGTTGTTGCTAGTTCTTGTCATAAGTTTGACATGGTAATCAAATGGATGAGCAATACAATTAAAAGTATCTCAGACAAGGAGGAAGACTGGGCTCGTAAAACAACTGGATGTAAATGGGATTAAAGTAATCCATGAATTCTTTACAGATATTTTGGCTGAAATATCACTGACGCAGGAAAAACGTTTCTACAACTTGATATGTGTGATGATGTTTCAGGGGATCAGCTGGTGAACCACATCGCCAACTGCCAGATGCTGACCAACAAGATGGGCTTACTCAACAGCCTTCAGGAATATGAGAGGGTCACGCTGTCAACCAAGGGGAGATTACCCCGCCTGAAAATGTCGGAGTTTGTGCCAGAGACATATCGGCTGGATAACCGTGATGACCGAGAGACCTTTCTACAGGTGTATAAAGGTGAGGGTGTTGTTATAATTTGAAATTTTTGAAAAGTGATAATATTTTTAAGAAGGAATTATTTATGTAATCGAAGGGGTGGAAACAATTCAAATATTACTGTTAACTTGTGGTTGTGTTAGGTGACAAATTAGCTGAAGTAAGGCAGCTTTGGTGAAAGGGAGAAAAATACCAATTTATGTGATATTCAGTAGATCCCACCAGTATGTTGTCAGGCGTGGACTATGCAGTGGTGTGTGATCAAGTGCACAGGTCATAAACCCGATCAAGTTAAGCAGGTTGGTCAAAGAGGATAGTTGGATAGATGACCATATATGGCCTGGGTCCTGCCCCTCACTGAAGCTCATGTAGCATATTTTATGTCTCATTAGGCAAGTGAATTTGTTCAAAATATGTCTCTTTTCAACCAGCAGTGAATGGGTACTTGGTAGGAGGAGATGGCAATGTGACATTCATGTGCCTCAAAGGCAGCTTTGGTTGTATACTCCTCAGGGAGCTGAGAATAACAATCAAATGAACACTGATACATTGATGTGGGTAATAATGTAGCTGATTGAATATGCTACATGATATAGATTGGGCACAGTATAATTACACACATTAGATTATGCTTGCTTTATGATAACCAACTGGTCAGCCTGGTCATACATTGTGGACCTGTGAAGATCTGGGTTAGAATTGATCTTCAGCAACCCATGTTTGTGGTAACCAGTGAAGATCCAGGTTAGAATTGGTCTTTAGTAGCCCATGTTTGTGGTAACCCGTGAAGATCAAGGTTAGAATTGATCTTCAGCAACCCATGCTTATCTTAAGAGGCTGACTAACAGGATCAGGTGGTCAGACACATGTCATCGTATCCCAATTGCATAGATTGATGCTCATGATCACTGGATTGTCTGGACCAGACTCAATTATTTACAGACTGATGCCATATAGCTGGAATGTTGTTGAGTGCGGCGTTAAACAACAGACCAACCAACCAGCCAACCAGCCAACCAGCCAACCAAATCATACATTGTACATACTGTCACATCAAGCATGGAGTCGTGGACCTGATCTGTCTCAGGATTCCATGTAGGGCATGTTCTGGGAGATGGGAACAATGATTGTCATGTAAGCTTCTGAATTGAGTAGAAATATATTTTGTCATATATAGTCTGTTGTCATGTACATAGGATGATTCTATTTTGTGAAAGGTCAAATTCAATTTTCAGAGAATGAGATCTGGATTTCCAAGCCGACAGGGATGAACCAGGGCAAGGGTATATTCTTGCTGCGGACACAAGAAGAGATTGACAAACTTCTGTCTGAGCGGGACGCCAGACAGCAGCAGAGTAAACCTTCCCGGCCCCTCATGTCGCGGATCGTACAGAGGTATGTGCTGCCACTATAATCTGCCACTATAAACTACAGTCCTTTGCCTGTATGGGGCTTTATTACACTGTATATGTTTGCTGTTTTGTAATGTTCAGGACCATTGAGTATTGTTTTCCAGGTATATCCACAACCCTCTGTTACTGGACGAGCGGAAGTTTGACATCAGGGCCTACATGCTGATTGCCAGCACAGTCCCGTACCTGGTTCTGTATCACAAGGGCTATGTCCGACTCTCCTGCCACAAGTATGATGGAGAGGACACCAACCTCACCACCCATCTCACCAACCAGGTACACTGTTTTTACATACCCATGTACCCATCTCACCACCCATCTCACCAACCAGGTATACTGTAGACATACATACCCATCTCACCCACATCTCACCACCCATCTCACCAACCAGGTACACTGTTTACATACATACTCATCTCACCACCCATCTCACCAACCAGGTACACTGTTTACATACATACTCATCTCACCACCCATCTCACCAACCAGGTACACTGTTTACAACCAGGTACCACTCGCACCAACCGTATACTGTAGACATACATACTCATCTCACCACCCATCTCACCAACCAGGTATACTGTAGACATACATACCCATCTCACCACACATCTCACCACCCATCTCACCAACCAGATATACTGTAGACATACATACCCATCTCACCACCCATCTCACCAACCAGGTATACTATAGACATAGCATAACACACACCTCACCACCCAAGTCACCAACCAGGTACACTGTTTACATACATACCTACCCATCTCCTACCCTGTTTACATCTCACCACCCATCTCACCAACCAGGTATACTATAGACATACATACCCAACACACATCTCACCACCCATCTCACCAACCAGGTATACTGTAGACATACATACCCATCTCACCACCCATCTCACCAACCAGGTATACTATAGACATAGCATAACACACCCACCTCACCACCCATCTCACCAACCAGGTATACTGTATACATACATACTCATCTCACCACCCATCTCACCAACCAGGTATACTGTAGACATACATACCCATCTCACCACACATCTCACCACCCATCTCACCAACCAGATATACTGTAGACATACATACCCATCTCACCACCCATCTCACCAACCAGGTATACTATAGACATACATACTCACACATCTCACCACCCATCTCACCAACCAGGTATACTGTAGACATACATACTCTCACCACCCATCTCACCCATCCACCAACCAGGTATACTGTTTACATACATACACCATCTCACCACACTGTTTACATCTACCACCATCTCACCACCCATCTCACCAACCAGGTATACTATAGACATAGCATAACACACACCTCACCACCCAAGTCACCAACCAGATATACTGTTTACATACATACCTACCCATCTCACCACCCATCTCACCAACCAGATATACTATAGACATAGCATAACACACACCTCACCACCCAAGTCACCAACCAGGTAATATTACTGTTTACATACATACCTACCCATCTCACCACCCATCTCACCAACCAGATATACTATAGACATTGCATAACACACACCTCACCACCCAAGTCACCAACCAGGTACACTGTTTACATACATACCTACCCATCTCACCACCCAGGTATACTGTAGACATACATACCCATCTCACCACCCATCTCACCAACCAGGTATACTGTAGACATAGCATAACACACACCTCACCACCCAAGTCACCTTCAGGCCTGTTATGGTATAGGGGAGATAACTCTTTCAGAACAAATTGTATATGAGCAGTTGTTTTTGCTGTCAGTCATTTATAAATCCAGTTTCAGGGTTAGGGTTAGGTTTCTACTCCTTAGTACTTGAGGATTACTTCGATTACTAGTAAGCTATAAGTTATATTTAATGTCTGACATTTAGGATCAGGAGACCGGTTTATGTGCCATGTGATATTTATATTGACAAGTTTAGACATTCAGTGTGAAATTAAATAGTGAGTTGATCATAATGCATATCATAATAATCAAAATATAACACACCAGGTAAAAATAAATATCTTGATTGAGAACAAAGCATTCTTATGTTTATAGTGCAATAAAAAAACATTCAGCTGATATTGTTTTATTGCCTTCTGATGCAAGTTGTCATGATGACAAGCACTCTTGTGACAAGCATCTTTCATGTGCAGTTCATCCAGAAGAAGGTTCCCAACTATGGGGACGTGAAGGAGGACACGGCATGGAGCATGGATAAGTTCAACGACTACATCAACGAGAAGGTTGCCCCAGAGAAAGGGATAGAACAGGACTGGGTGTACAACACGCTAACAGTGAGTTATACAGGGCCACTGGTGTAGTGTGACTTGAGTCTTTGTGACAGACATTTTACCAATATAATATTTTATTTTAGAGAACTATTGCTCACCTTATGACCTTGAGAACCCACATTTGTTCTGCTTTGTCAAAGAGAAATGAACTTGGGAAATATACGTGCATGTTGTAAAGTTGAACTTTTTAGTCAAAGTTAAACAAGTATAAATAAAGTTCCACATATTCACATTTTTTATTTAAAAGGCATGCCCAGTGACTGGTTATGATATTGTATGTAAGTGGAAGGACACTAAATGTTGTCCTTGTTGTCATTGTTTGTAAAATTGATCTGTAATAGTCAAAGGGAGCAAGTAATAAAGTTACTGACTGGTTATTGTAAGTGAAAGGAAGGACACGAAACATTAAGTTTGATGTCATTGTTATCATTGTTGTTCTGTTGATTCACTATTGCCATTATTGTCATTGTTGCCATTGTTACCATTATATATATTGTCATTGTTGCCATTATTACCATTATATGCCATTATTGTTCATTCATTGTTGTTACCATTATTACCGTTACCATTATATATATAGTGTTATCATTGTTGCCATTATTACCATTATATATATAGTGTTATCATTGTTGTCGGTTGTTACAGAGACAGATGCAGAGGATAATGCTCCACTGTTTCAACTCAGTTAAACACAAGCTGCAGTGTAAAGTTGGCTACTTTGACCTGTACGGCCTGGACTTCATGGTGGACCAGGAGATGAAGGTAGGCTGTGAGGGTATGAGATAAAGGTGGATGATAGCATGTAGACATTGGGGTTGAAGGTAGGGCCAAAGATAGGTAGGGGTCATTGTCGAGCCAGGACGTGATGGGAGAAGTGGAGGGCTGGATGATAGGGGTGGAGACAATGGGGTAGAAGGTTTGTTGAAAACATTGGGATGGAGATAGATAGGGGTCACCGAAGACAGTGATGCCAACCACAGAGTGGCAGAGTTACTCCGATTTTCAAATACAAAATCTGCTTTCCGATTTCTCTTTAAAAAACTCTGAATTTATTTTAATTGATGATGAAGTTTCACAACGTTTTTCAGAATACATGTCATAGTCCATATGAAAGTGAAACAAAATAGCAGAGCAACCACATGCTCACCCCCAACTCACACCTTTGATTCAGGGTGGGCATCTCGGCGTAGAGCCAGACCTTGACAGGAGAGGTGGGGTATGACTGGGCGGTTGATGGAGAGGTGGGGTATGACTGGGCGGTTGATGGAGAGGTGGGGTATGACTGGGCGGTTGATGAAGACATGACTGGGCGGTTGATGGAGAGGTGGGGTATGACTGGGCAGGGTATGACTGGGTGATGGAGAGGTGGGGTATGACTGGGCGGTTGATGGACAGCACAACACTGACCAGCATTATTGTTTCAGTATGATCCTATGGTAAAATATAGGAGCAGCTGCAGTTGGAGCATCATTTTATGAAATAAGGTAATGACAGGAAGGTGTTGGAGAACATGGGGGAGATGATTCTAGGATTTCATTAATCAGTTTCCCAATACAGAGTTTCCTTTGACACTAACTGAATGTATTCCCTCTGTAGATCTGGCTGATTGAGATCAACATCAACCCGTGCCTGGCCATCAACTGTGCAGCTCTCAAGGAGGTCATCCCAGACATGGTGGAGGAGACTATCCGTGAGTACAGGGACTGATGTTTGCTGTTTAGCACTACTGTGGCATATGACAGGTGTTGATTTTGTAGTTTAGAATTGATTGGGACCATGAATCTCATCCAAACATAAACCATGTATCACCTCTCCAACATTACATCTCTAACATGTGCATATAGTCGAGAAGCCAGTTTAGTGGTGGGTTAGATTTGTGAAAACACAGTAGCTTCTCTCCTTTCAAGAATGTTGGTGTGTGTTGTGTAAGGTTAGCAATATTCCATCTATGTGACAACGACCTGTGAAGGATCGAGTCTGAGCCACTCCAGTGGTTGATATCATAAGCAACAACATGCCTGTTGCCTCAGATTATGTTTGTAGGTCTGTCACTACTAGTGGTGTAGTGGTGGTCCGATTAATTGAAATAATCGAAGATTGGTCGCAGTGACTAAACGACCAAGCAATCGATCATGTTTTCTCATAATCGAACACAAACAATTCTGGAACACTTGTTTTCATTAACAGTATTTTTCACTAGGTTGGTTTTGTCTGTTACATTTCATAAGCACTACAAGCTCATTCCAAGTCATGATTGAATTTATCTTAAAGACACCAAGAAATTTATGTTCCTCCATACTAGTCATCCTTTAAAGATGTGAAATTTTGCCCAAAAACCCCCCAAAGAACTACATGTTTTTTCCCTTATTTTTGGGTGCATTAACCGATTCATAAATGACGCTAACCAATTATTTTCGATGATTGATCGGTTGTAATGAACCAATCATCAATTATGAGATTTTAACCAATTCCCAACACTAGTCACTACCATACCCATGGGTTTCAACAGACTTGTAAACATCTGATACCAATACCCCCGTGATATAACTGAACTGCTGTTAAAAGCATCAACTAATCCAGCTCACTCACTGAGACATCTGAGACCTGCCATCACTTCGGCTTTCCTTCCACATTAAGTTTACCCACTGTGATATAACTGAAATGCAGTTAAAAGCATCAACGAATCCACCTCACTCATTCACTACAGTTTTGGTGTTGATGATGGCAGTAGTATCTCTACATCTCCGGCTACAGAGTTTATTATCTTTAAAAACCACACAATTTTATATTGTTTCTTGATTTTATATATTATAATGAAATATACATTAAAAAATCTGTGTATTGTGATAATCATTTGACTTTTCTACCTCTCAGATTTATGCCTGGAGAGCTTTGAGAAGAGTCGCAGACACCAGCCATTGATGCCACTCAGTTCCCTGAAGAAATTCGCAGTGTTGCATTGTGGCTCCAGCCCCTACTCTGTGGGTCATCGGCAGACGAGAAGTGTCTCCCCTGCCAAGGACAACAGCCAGGAGAAATCAAAGTCTACGCAGTCATCCAACAATCCCCGACAGAGTCGATCACCAAGTCGGTCGGTTCCTCGTGTTGCCATTTCACAAACTCCTGTTGTCACACAGTCTCAGAACCAGACACGAAAGTCAGAATTTTCCACCATTCTGAATCCACAAGGTACGGGAGGAGGGAGTAAAACTACCACCAGTGCTAAAACGAGTACTGCTAGTAGAAATTTGGGCAGCTCAAACACTTCATCGTCTTTCCCAAAGTCTGCAAACAGTACAGGAAATACCAACTCAGGGAACACTGGTACAAACAAAACAACAAAAACAGCTAGCAACAACACAACAACAAGTTCTTCGACAGATAAAACAACCAAACCAGCATCCAACACAACAGCAAGCAGTGGGGTGAATGGGAATCGTGGGACAGAGAAAACACACAATGCTCCAGCATCAACCGTGTCTGCAACCACCAGCAGTGGAAATGGCAGTTCAGGGAATTCTGGGACAGCAAACAGCACTGGTGTAAAAGCTGTCAGGACAAGTAAAAGTGCAGATGCTAAGACTAGTCCCAAGTCTGAGAGTACAGTAAGTAGGAACAACAACAACAACAACAACGGCGGCAGCATGGCTACATCGTCAACCAAAGCTGGCATCACCAATGGAGGAAGCACTCTAGGGACAGACAAGACGGCGAAGACAAACAACAGCCAGAACAAGTAAAACTGCTGACGTTAAAACAAGCCCCAAAACCGATACCGCAACAAAGCCTCAACAAGGCAGTGGTGAGAAGCCTGCCAATAAAAACAATAACGCAAGCTCTCAGAAACCTAAAGCCAGTTCTCCCGGCAAGACAGAAGCTGACAAAGGAAGTAAGACTGACAAATCATCTAAACCAACCACAACAAATTCCTCACCCAAATCGGAATCCTCGGGGAAAGATGTAAAGACTGTGTTAAAGACAACGAAGACTGAATCAAAACCAGAGCCAGTGTCAAAAAAGGACAGTAAAGTTTCTGAAGGACGTTCAGTGAAACAAACGGTTCCATCTAGTCAGAGTCCGAGCCCCAGAGGGTCTGGAGGAGAAGATGTGAAACTGAAGATGACTCATGCCAAAGGCTCTGGGAGTCGGAAGAACAGACCTCGAGCTGATACTGGGAATTGATGACGTATCAGTTTAGTTTCTGTGACATGTCGACTGTGATAACACTGTGTGCCAGGATAATTAGGTAAAGGTGCTGTGTGATGTCTCATTTCATAGCAACTTCACCCAAATTCAGTTTTCACAGAATAATACTGAAATATTCAGGATCAAATCAAGTAATTTCAATACCAGTCACCATCAGTATTTTAACACTTTTCTGGAATCAGCATGAGACTGGATATATTGGGTATCATCTCTGGCACACAAGCGTCATGGTGATGCTTGACTTATGGTTTCACCAAGGCAACATTAAGCAGATACAACTTATATTGAAACCTTGTGTTTTCTAGTGTTGAAGAAACAGTATTAATTTCATTTTGATTCAGAAATGTCACCATTGTCAGATTGTATTACGTGGTATTCTTCATCACCAAAGTTCTGTAATGAGCTGGAAGATAACTGCAATATTTACTTACTGGCATCAGAGTACAGCCTCAGCAACCACTGACCAATCAGATTCAGAGGACAAGGGTCAGCCAATCACAGAAAACGTCAGGTTGCTGTTGAAATCCCCCATCCACCCTCATCCCCATAAATCTTTTGAGTGCTTTTGCATCACCAAATCATTAGCTATTTTTTCAACTTGATTACTTACCCATAGACAAAAGAACAAATGGATGTTATCCCTTCTGAAATGCCTAAGTTTGTTATCATTGTTGAACTCAAGGAGTAAAAAGCAATTTGCCATTTAAAATAATCCAGGTGCATAATATAATGTTTTTTATTGATAGAGGGTTAATAAAATGAGAACTCTTTAACTGGACGGTGTTCAATTTATATAAAAATATAATAAGTACCAGAAGTGCAAAGCAATGATCTTCTGGACCCAGCATCTGTGATAAGTATCTTGTGACATGTTTTAATGTCCTGAGCACCAAGTAGACAACAGCAGTACTAGACATCTGCACCAAATTACTGCTGATTCAACAAGACTGAAACTGTGGAGTTACTGCAGTCAGTTCATACGTCCCAAGTTGTCCAGATCCAGAGTACTTTCTATTTTTTATGAAAACTTGTGATTAGATGTTACCACATGTGAATAGATGTCACTACATGTGAATCGATGTTACTAAATATCAAGGAAGTATAATACTGCTTTATTAATTGCTAATATTATATTTGAAAAGATGGAATCGATTTAAACTATGTTAAGTACTATGTTAATGGCAAAACTTGTTTGTTATAATAACAAAAAGAATGAAAATTTCACACAATGTTTCAAATGTTTCCCATATGCAGTGGAACAGTAAACATTTGAGACAAATTCTTCAAAAGAGCTCCTCTGCACTTTCCAAAGTCATATTACAATGTATTTAGATAATGATAGAAATCTATAAAATTAAAAGTGTAGGTGCAACCACCACCCTGCCAAATTATATCTGATAAAATGGAGCTGAAAGTCATAAGATGGATGTCAACTTGCTCTTCCCAGGTAACCATGTTTGATGAAAGTAGGTTTCGTCACAGACAGTAGGGAGAGCATCAGTGTTTGCGTGTCTTCTATCCCAGGCTGATCAGCGTGGATTGCTTGTAGATGTATTTACTTGCTCAATTAGTCCTACCTCATAGTTACCACATAGGGAAGCAGAAGAGTAGTGCCACGTTAAAATTAGAAGTTTTGAGTGAAATAACTATGGGAGTCCCAGGTTTAGCAGACCTGTTGATGAAGAGACACACATTAATAGTGAGATTCTGACAAACCGGATAGGTGGGTCAAATCTAGACTAAAATGGGAGTCCCAGGTTTAGTCTCTGAAAAACTCTGACAAACCGGAAAATTTAGTCTCTGAAAATGAACATATTTTAAAAAAACATAAAAAAATATATATATATTTGAGACTTTCTTCATTTTCAGAAGCTGAGGAAATCTAGACTTGCCACATTTTCTAGACTTGTGTGGGCTTTCTTGGATATATTTGCTTCAGGGTCTGTATGAGAGACTAGGTCAAATCTCAAAAACTCTTTATTTGTTACTCTGATGAATTCCTCCTTTTGTCCACCACATACAGTAAGATGATGTAAGATGACACATGCACTGAACGTATTGATATAATCACAAGGAAAACAACTATAATCAACAGTACCCTGTCTATTTTCCCTCCTGCAGTCTAAGTCCATTCTTGTTGAAGTGGGCTACATGCAAGCAAGGATGAGGAATGGGAGTTCTTGTTACCTAATCACTGAGTTTGCTTTGACTGAAGTCATTCTTTGACTAAGGAATTTTCACCATAAAAATTCTACAAACCAAGGCATACAGGAAGTCTAGCTCGCCTAAGTGACTTATGTTTACACTACTCAACTTGTGATAAGGATACAGAGATGGTTCATACTACTGTGTATCCATATCATGAGTACATATGTAAAATATATAAATTATCTGTATTAAAATTTGAGTAGTGCATGTGAAAAAACACAACCCAAAAAGTCATTTTAAATTTTGGAATATTGATGTAGTTTCTGGTGAAAGGTTTAAGAGATGAAATACTTTTCTCATTCAGTGTTGGATGTCAGTGAAGAATGTACAGGAGCATTTACAGAGCTGTGCGGCAGTAATAAGTCATCTTATGTTTTGGTGCCATATGTTTTAAACAAAATACAATTAGATGTGATTTTAGTTCATTTGTAACCAGGTATTTTACATGAAATATGTATGGCACAGTTAGGATAGATTGAACAAAAATTGCTTTATGAATTGGTGTATTCCCAAAAATTGAAATGTGAAAAACATTAAAACACAGAGAAGGAGATATGTTAAAAATTCCTCATATCAGAAGTAAGTAAAATAATTAACGTAAAAAGTTAGTTCCCTTCCTTTCAATATTGATAAAACTTTAAAGATGCTATTTTTAAAACTTATAATAAAACCTTATCTTATGAACAAATTATTATGACAATACTCCCCAGATATTGCAATTGGAGTTTTGTTTTATGTTTACAACATTCTGGATGGTTATTTTGGCACATCTTGGCCTGTCTGTTAACCTACAACTAAGTGTCTGTTATATCCAAAACATTTATTATTTAAGTCAGTGATTTGTCAGTTTTTAGATATTCATTGTTTTTTTTTTTATTTCAAAATAATTCAGCATATATTCAGTGTTCCTTATATGGACATTGTACCACATTGAAAATAGAACCAAGTAATGCTAATATTAGGGTACCGGTATGTCACAATGATTGATGAAGCTCTGCAGTTTCATGTAGAAAATATCTTTATTGAATGTTAAAAATATTTCCATCAAGCTGCTTTAATTAAATCATTATTGTGATATTTTGATGCCTGAATAAATAATTTTGTCTGTGATATTTACTGTAATGTTTTATTATTTTTGTTATTGAAAGTATTGTTATATAGTCTGTGATTGTATACTTCATTTTTTCCGCATGCTTGTTGCCAATAAGTATAACAAAATCAATGTATTATTATTTTGCATAAAAATAGATGTTTTCATGACATTTGTTTGTTCTTTTTTGTAAGTCTGATGTGCACTGGGAGTGAAACACCAGTACAGAATGGCCTGTGAGCACTAAGGAATTAAAAAATGTCTGTCCATAGTGAATAAGTTCAGAGGGATGAAGTTCAGATGCGTCTTGAGTAGTTTCTATATCACAAAATACTATATTTTTAAGATCACTGCATCAGAATTCATCTCGTTATATTATCAGGTACGTTTTAACTACAGGTAAATCACTGGTAGGGGAACATGTGCACTGCACAGCTGATTGCTATTTCCGGTGCTGTATACGAGACAATTACACACGGTAATCTTATTCCTTGCATTTAAGACAATGCCTAGCAAAAACAAATTAGAACTGCATAGGTAAATAATCTTGTCTAGTGATATTTAATTGCAAATTTGACATCTTTACTGACAAAGTTGTCTTCTCTTGTTTGTTTTTTCACATGAAGCAATACAATGTCGTTTTCTTACCCCCTGAAAAAAAGTGTGACGAAAGTGTAACCCATAGATAAGCCAACCCCCCCTTCTACAGACTGCTATTTTTGGTACCCAAAATTCGGCTTATCTACGGTAATTCACAAGACAATTTCAGATCACCTGTCCCCAGTGAATTAAGTACAGAGGGATCAATTTCAGTGCCCTTTTGAGTAGTTTCAACATAAATTCACAACACAATTTCAGAATACTTGTGACATAGATGCTGGGAATAGTTGCATCCCCTGGGCGTGCTAGAGTTGCATCCCTTGGCCGTGCTAGAGTTGTATCCCTTGGGCGTGCTAGAGTTGCATCCCTTGAGCGTACTAGAGTTGCATCCCAAGTGCTAGGGTTGCATGCTAGAGTTGAGTTGCATCCTTGGGGGTGCTAGAGTTGCATCCCTTGGGCGTGCTAGAGTTGCATCCCCTTAGAGTTGTGCTAGAGTTGTATCCCTTGGGTGCTAGAGTTGCATCCCCTGGGCGTGCTAGAGTTGCATCCCTTCGTGCTAGAGTTGTATCCCTTGGGCGTGCTAGAGTTGTATCCCTTGGGCGTGCTAGAGTTGCATCCCTTGGGCGTGCTAGAGTTGCATCCCTTGGGCGTGCTAGAGTTGCATCCCTTGGGCGTGCTAGAGTTGTATCCCTTGGGTGTGCTAGAGTTGTATCACTTGGGCGTGCTAGAGTTGTATCCCTTGGGTGTGCTAGAGTTGTATCCCTTGGGCGTGCTAGAGTTGTATCCCCTGGGCGTGCTAGAGTTGTATCCCTTTGGCGTGCTAGAGTTGTATACCTTTGGCGTGCTAGAGTTGTATCACTTGGGCGTTCGTCAAATGTGTGGGCTGCAGTCTTGGGTCTCCCTGGTTGTGTGTCCAGCTTTAGCACCTTACCCATGTTTGTGTGTTTCACAACATGGACGTTATCTCCGACCTGCACCACTTTAGGCTTTACTCTGATATTGAACTAAGATGCCAGGATATAACAGAAGTAATGCAATAAGTGGCATCCAACTCACTCACTGTTCTTATATTGCTCATAGCTTTTTTGTGAGAAAATACAGAAAAAATGTCGGCTTCCTGGTTCAACTAATTATATTTAGAACCAACTATAATTTGTTATAACCATAGTTAACTGTCAGACTGATACAACCAGAAGGATATACATCTTGGAGCCTAACAGTTTGTGGGTATATTTCAGATTGTGAATGTTCCTATTTCTTGCCATCCCTTAAGAAAAAGAAATAAATGAACAAGCAATGATTTGAAAGTGTTTTCAGATATGTAAGGCCGGTGGGGTAGCCTAGTTGTTGAAGTGTTTGCTCATCACACTGACTGACCTGGGTTTGTTTCCCCACAGGGTACGATGTGTGAAGCCCATTTCTGGTGTCCCCTACCATGATATTGCTGGAATATTGCTAAAAGCAGCATAAAATCACTGACTCAGATATGTGAATAAACAGTATTTTGATAGTGTGTTTTCAGGTTTGTCAATAAACACCAACAAAATAATGGTGCGACAAAACACTAAGCGAGACCAGAGAGATATTTTGTTTTCACAACCTGCAGCCACTTTACAAACAAGATATTTGACTCAAAGATCCAAAATGTGATCATACTGTGTATGTTTTCATTGTAGGTGAGTGAAAGAAGATTACTCTTTGGGGCAGCTATTTCAGTTACATCTGTGGCTTGCAAGATTTTATGCACACCTCTTTGTAAAAATAAAAATATTTCTGTTGTCACTAATATTGTGCATTACAAACATAGATTTGATTGCTGGTGAGAGACATGCCCATGGCATGTGGGATCACTTTGTTTTTGAGAGCCATGCCTGTACTGCTGTGTTTAATTTTCCTTGTCAAAGCAATGATGTCCTCTCCGGGTATTACCCAAATGGATAATTGTAAGCAAGGTGATATCTTGTGTTGATAAAGATTACAGTTACATGACATATATCACAGCCATCAGGATTCAGGGGTGGAATTTCTCCTCAGCCACATATGTCAACTTATTGTCAATTGGATCTGGTGGTTACTGACTTTGTCATCATACCCCAGCAACATGGATTGCCCCTCATACTCTCAGTCAGTGGATGTTTGCTCCAGGGACAATTTTAAAGTAGTTTGTAATCAGTGAAGATCCTTCAGGATCACAGTTAGAATTGATCTATGCCATCCATGCTTGTTGGGAGGTGACTAATGGGTTTTCGTGGTCTGGCTCGGTGACTAATGGGATTTTGTGGTCTGGCTCGGTGACTAATGGGATTTGGTGGTCTGGCTCGGTGACTAATGGGTTTTGGTGGTCTGGCTCGGTGACTAATGGGATTTGGTGGTCTGGCTCGGTGACTAATGGGAATGACTAATGGATTTGGTGGTCTGGCTCGGTGACAATGGGATTTGGTGGTCTGGCTCGGTGACAATGGGATTTGGTGGTCTGGGTGACAATGGGATTTGGTGGTCTGGCTGGGGTGACAATGGGATTTGGTGACAATGGGATTTGGTGGTCTGGCTCGGTGACTAATGGGATTTGGTGGTCTGGCTCGGTGACAATGGGATTTGGTGGTCTGACTGACAATGGGATTTGGTGGTGGTCTGACTCAAGGGATTTGGTGGTCTGGCTTGATGGATGTCATCCTAACTTGGTTTTGATGCATGTCATCCTAAGCCAGTTGTGTAGATTGATGCTCATGATGTCAGTCCCTGGATTGTCTGGTCCAGATTCAGTTATTGCTCGACCACTATCATAGAGGTAGAATATAACTGAGTGGCATATCATACAACTGACATAAAACAAACTATAATTATATAGTCATGCTTTACAACATTCTCTGGGAGCTCCTGGTTGAGATTACTGAGCAAGGCCATTTACGCTGGAAGTACAATGACCTGCATTCTTGAAATAGGTATATGATAATGACAGAGAGATGTTTAACTTCAGTTTGTTTTAATATATACACTTTTTACATAACAACTCAAAACTTACAAAACTGTTTCCCGACCAATAAACCATCCTGATATTAAACATTCAGGTTTGGAAACACATTGTCATATCAATCTCACTGACATATAAACATAATTTAAGGTAATGATTACCTGGTATATCATCTCTCTCGTTACAATACATACCCAGGAATACACACAAACACAGCCCAATCTCTTATCAATAACTACACATTCCTGGGTCCTCTTCCACAAAGGTATCTTAGCCATAACATGATCTTAACTCCCATAAACTTACAGAATCTTTGTACTAAGATCACTTTGTGGATCAGGGCTTTGATTTTCGAAGCTCTCTTAGCGCTAAGATAGTCGTAAGTCAATGTTAATGTATGGCATTTAAGACTATCTTAGCGTTAAGAGAGCTTCGAAAATCTAGGCCCAGGTCCAAGGACAATACAACAGCATTCATACTGGTCTTGTTCATATGACACAGTCTTGTTCATATGAATATTAAGTTTGTATATTTTGTACAAAACAGAAATTCAATATTGCACTTGCATCAGGTACATAAATTAACCACATGAGGACATTTGGATATCAAACTGGAATGATTATACTGTCAGCACATAAACAGTTGATCAAAAATAGTGCAAAATTACTATTATTAATTTGATTTACAAATAACAAAGTAATCCCATTCTTTCTTCTTGCTTTCAATCAATTATACAGGAAATCAAATCACCATCATCAATACTAATTGGACACAACCCTTATGAATTATTGCAAGTAGACTTACAAAACTTCAGCTACATTGTTGTCGAATTTTCCAAGTTTAGCACTTCATAAAAATAGACTTAAGTCCTATAAAATAATTTACTTTACACTAATAGTTTCATTGTCAACAATAAGACATTAAATGAACAGGTTCTTGTAGATAATAAAATTGACTTCTTGCCAGGCCAGGAAAAAAGGAAACAAATTGTGCCAAAGAGTTCATCCAACTCATTCTGACTTGATCCCTAATAATGTCTTAGAACCTGGAAAGGGATACTGACAATGGCCTTGATGTTAGAATAAATGTCTTGGAACCTGGAAAGAGGTAAGGACAATGGCCTTGATATAAACATATTTATTTCCACACTTTGATGACTCCATCTCTCGATCCTGTGATGACGAGACACTGCGATGACTGACAGATGTTGACGTCGCTGATGATGTCGTGATGGCCGGTGGGAGGAGCTTCAGGAACACGTCTCGGAATGTCATCCGAGTTGGCTTGTTTCTTTGTACATACTTCCTGAATCACCTCCGTACCGTCTATCAGCTGAGACCTTCGGAGGAAACAAGCAACATGTATCAAACTTTCACATGTTTGAACACTTCATCCTAAAACTGTTGACTTATAGCCATAGCAGACATTGGGCAAGTCTACCACCAACTCTAGCTACAAAAGACATTGGTCAAGTGTATTGGCCCTACCTCTAACTATAGTAGACAATGGGCAAGTCTACCCTTCCAACCAGAAGCTGTAGGAGACAATTGGCAAGTCTACTGTTCCTACCTGGCAAGTCTACTCTTCCTACCTGTAGCTGTAGGAGACATTGGGCAAGTCTACTCTTCCTACCTGTAGCTGTAGGAGACATTGGCAAGTCTACTGTTCCTACCTGTAGCTGTAGGAGACATTGGGCAAGTCTACTCTTCCTACCTGTAGCTGTAGGAGACATTGGGCAAGTCTACTGTTCCTACCTGTAGCTGTAGGAGACATTGGGCAAGTCTACTGTTCCTACCTGTAGCTGTAGGAGACATTGGGCAAGTCTACTCTTCCTACCTGTAGCTGTAGGAGACATTGGGCAAGTCTACTGTTCCTACCTGTAGCTGTAGGAGACATTGGGCAAGTCTACCGCTCAGTCGTGACTCATGATAAATGAGTTGGCTGGGTATGTCAGGTCCCAGAATCTCACTCTCATGTCCGAGCCTCCCGTCAACAGGAACAGTTTGGTGTCTGTGGCTGCGATGTGCATCCCATGCACAGCATGATTGTTGTTCTGAAACAGACAATATCTCACATCAACTGCTGGATAATAGCGGTGCTTATTGGAAAGGATGGAGAAGAGAGAGAGAAGAGTAAAGAAGAGAGGGAGGAAAATTGCACCTACCTGTGACATGGAGAGGTAGGGGGAGCTGCACCTACCTATGAGATAGACGAAAGGGTGGGGGGACCTACCTGTGAGATGGATAGGTGGGAGTGCAGCTATCGTGCCATGGACGGGGAAACTGCACCTACCTGTGAGTTGGACAGGGGGTTGGGGGAGAGAGAAGAACTCCACCTACCTGTGAGATGGAGAGTGGGGGAGCTGCACTGGCCCACAAAGACTTCTGTCTGGCTCCAGTCTCCACATCCCACATAGATACTTCGTTGTTCCACTGGAAAGCTGACACAATCCATGGCTGATCCTTGGGATGCATGATCAGCTTCCGAACACGGGCATCTGTGAATTGAACATGGCATCTTAACTGCATGATGTCTTATTTCATAGATATCAGTACTTGAAACTTGGAGTGGCATAAGCCGTACATATCACAAGCAGATTGGCACACATCCAAACTTGTAAAATAATATTAGTTATCAGAGGTAACTTCATACTGCATTAAAAGTGCTTGTTTTTTGTTGCATAACACAGCAATTTAACCAAGATGATTACAGTACATGAATATCTTGACCCTGGGGCGAAAAATATCCCCATGTCATACTAGCAGGGTGGGTGATGGTGTTGATGGGGAGCTATTCTAACCCCACTGGGGTGAAATGTCTTACTAGCAGGGTGGGTGATGGTGTTGATGGGGAGCTATTCTAACCCCCACTGGGGTGAAATGTCTTACTAGGCAGGGTGGGTGATGGTGTTGATGGGGAGCTATTCTAACCCCCACTGGGGTGAAATGTCTTACTGGCAGGGTGGGTGATGGTGTTGATGGGGAGCTATTCTAACCCCCACTGGGGTGAAATGTCTTACTAGCAGGGTGGGTGATGGTGTTGATGGGGAGCTATTCTAACCCCCACTGGGGTGAAATGTCTTACTGGCAGGGTGGGTGATGGTGTTGATGGGGAGCTATTCTAACCCCCACTGGGGTGAAATGTCTTACTGGCAGGGTGGGTGATGGTGTTGATGGGGAGCTATTCTAACCCCCACTGGGGTGAAATGTCTACTTACTGGCAGGGTGGGTGATGGTGTTGATGGGGAGCTATTCTACCCCCCACTGGGGTGAAATGTCTTACTGGCAGGGTGGGTGATGGTGTTGATGGGGGAGCTATTCTACCCCACTGGGGTGAAATGTCTTACTGGCAGGGTGGGTGATGGTGTTGATGGGGAGCTATTCTAACCCCCACTGGGGTGAAATGTCTTACTGGCAGGGTGGGTGATGGTGTTGATGGGGAGCTATTCTAACCCCCACTGGGGTGAAATGTCTTACTGGCAGGGTGGGTGATGGTGTTGATGGGGAGCTATTCTAACCCCCACTGGGGTGAAATGTCTTACTGGCAGGGTGGGTGATGGTGTTGATGGGGAGCTATTCTAACCCCCACTGGGGTGAAATGTCTTACTGGCAGGGTGGGTGATGGTGTTGATGGGCAGCTGGAACCTCATGTCCCAGCACACCTGGGCTCCACTGCTGGTCCCCAGGGCCAGCCAACACTGGGTGTGGTTCACAGCAAAGCTGGTGATGAGGCCATCACGGGGGTTGTTCTTCAGCTCCCACACAGCCCGGTTAGCTCGCAGGTCCCAACCAATCAGGTGGCCATTCACTGTTGCATATGCTAACACTGACTGAGCCCCTGAAATGGAGGATTAGGAATGTGGAACATGTTTCAAATCAAGTCCGGTAGAGTGCCCATGTGTTCCCAAGACTTGTCTGACCTCATGTCATACAATGTATGCTTGAATGTCATGACTACAGTGAGACAGTTAGGATTATTCTGGTATTGAATTAAAATAAATGAAATCATGCTATTGTTATTGCGGTTTATTTGGAACCATTAACTCAATGGATATTCTCAGCACTCATTGTAAAACTGACCATAGGTCATTAAACAAAATTACAGAGAAATTATATATCAACCACAGCATGAACATAACATGAGTCACAGAAATCATGAAACAATTATCATAGCGTGTATGCTATTGTTGTTGCAGTTGCTTTTAAACCATTACTTCAATGGATATTCTCAGCACTCATTGTAAAACTGACTATAGGTCATTAAACAAAATTACAGAGAAATTATATATCAACCATAGCATGAACATAACATGAGTAATTTAAATTATTCAATTTCCATGGATTTGACATGTCAACAAGACAGCAACTAACCATTTGAAATTACAAACTCTGAGGAGAAAAAGTTTCCTTCAAAATACAAATGCATTAGATGCAGGTCGGCTATGGGATGCAAGAAGTGTAATGTGAGAAGCCTTACCTGTATCAAAGTGAGTAAGGTCGACCACATGACCATGTTTGGCAATGTCCACATTGATCTGTTCCTCTGGCTGGACTCTATCCGTTGTTATCCTGAAGAGAGTGAACAGTTTTTCAGTACATTTGACACCAGCTTTTGTTGTTGCTATTATTTGTGTGATGCAACTTGTGTTGGTAAATGAGTGAACACAAAATATTTCATTGTGATGGAGATTTCAAAGAACATCCTAGATTAATATCACCATTACTTTTAAAAAGTCTTTTTCTTAAAATCCTTACAACAATTCTGTCATAACTGACACATTCATGGGTCAACTTGAAAAATAATACAGCAGTGAGTCCATAAAAAAATAGTGAAGTGAAATATGACCATGGCAAGGTTCTACACACATATGGCTCAAATGGCTCAATATGGCTGAAACTTACTTGTTGACGTGTATGGTGCCATTGTCTGAAGCTGAGGCTACGGCGTGTGACGCCTCACAGAATGTCAGACACTTTATCCTACCACCTGTAAAGAAGAAGAGAGGGTTGGTTCAGGTATAAATGTATGAAAACTGAAGATTCTTCTGGCATGGTGTTTGTTGTGCAGTTATTTTGCTGTGTACAGGTGTGCTCAAGTGACATTTCTTCACTGATCTCTAGATCAGCTACGATACCTCTCTGCAAAACGGTCTAAGGACCCCCGAGAAGATCAGGCCATCAGTTAATTGAGGGTCTTACCTTGCTTGGTGAGCGTGTGTTTTGACCGATTGACCACACTCTTCCCTTCCAGCCTGGAACACTCCCATAGCTTCACTGAGCCGTCATTGGAACAGGTGGCAAAGTAGCTGTGATCATGGCACACTTGGATTCTGCAGGCAAAATAACATCCTGGCTGTCACATTAAAACAGGGAACAACAGTCTCCCTATATTCAGACTGTATCATGGCAGCCTGTATATAATCAAGTCTAGACCAAACAATCCAGTGACTGAATGCCTCAACAGCTGTGTTGCCCATGATGACACAATCAGCCATTTACAGAGCTTGGCCCCTAATCCATCTTTGATTACTCTTACAATAAGGCACAGTTTTACCTCAGAATACCAACAATGTATTGCAGTGGATCTACAGACTAAACATGATACATGAAAATGAACAGCTGAAAACAATGCAAGCTGTATATATATTAGGCTATAGTTGGCATGGATATTGTGTTAAAGTTTCACCTGTTGATTGCAGCCCTATGTTCCTGGAGATGTGCTACCAACAGACCTCGAGGTTTCCAGTTGTCAGGTGGCGGCCGGCTGTCCCAGGCGATGCCCTCGAGGAGGTCCTTGGTGAGGACATCCACCTTGTACTGCTCTCGTCGCTTGTGGACCAGGCCACGGAGATCCCACTTACATGACGCATATCGAGCTGAAAGTACATGGACATATTGTTTTGGTTGTTTGCAGTTTGTTTTTGGTTTGTTTGATGCACATGGTAATATTCCATCTATATGTCAGCAGTCTGGACTAGACAATGCAGTGATCGATACTGTGAACATGCTAATCACCCCATGGTAATTGAGCATAACACATATTATTCTCATTCATAATTGTATCTGCAGCATCTTCTAAGACTTTCAGAAAACATCATCAGGATGATCACTATATTCATTCTAACGCCATATCAGTGTACAAATAGTTCCCGTCTTCTGATCGACCCATAGCTGACAAACACATATTATTCTCAGTCATAATTATATCTGAAGCATCTTCTATGATTTGTGATGATGATCTTTATCTTTCTTCCAAGCCAGATCAGTGAACCTGTGCTGGCTAGGTATTCTCAAAACGTTCGTAGCCATACGAACTTCTTAAGCCCATTCTTAACACATTGGCTACGATCAAAGTTAAGAATTCTTAGGGCTATGAACGTTTCGAGAATAAGGGCCCTGGTGATTAGGTCCCTAACTAAACTCAAAGGGTACAAAAGTACTAGAACAGGTACTTTACAAAGAAGGTGTAATCCCCAAATAGTTCCCTGTCTCCTGATCGACCCATAACTGACAAATAACAACAAGGTGTTCAGCTCACTCTGGTGGGACTGCTTGTCGGCCGGCTGCTGGCTAGTGGAGCGTTTCAGGCCTGCCTCCCCACTGGACGAGACATGGGACACGTTCACCATACTACTGGATGCTGATTGGCTGGACAGTGTTGATGTGGACCGCTTGTCAAGGTCGTATTTGTCCCCTCCTGACTTAGACTTTGGGGACGAGGAGAGAGACTTCTCTGATTCCGAGGAACCAAACATCTTCTTCCATTCAGCATTCTAAAAACATTAACATGCCACATCAGTACAGTGACCTAACTGTCACTTATTGTACATGCCACAGAAATACAGTTTATCTGTAGAGCTGTACACTGTCTCTGGAATATTGCAAGGAGATCGACAGCACCAACCATATTATATCATATTATTCAAACAGTAATAAGCAGTGCCCTGTGTGTTAATGGTGCAGTTAACCATCTTCAGTGGCAGTGAGATAAGTGATGTGTAGGATATAACATGACCCACGGGTCATTTTATATCCAACTTCTAAACCAACCGAAGATATAATTTCAATATTTGGTATTTACTGTTTCAACTGGGATGAGACTGGCAGCTGACACCTTGCCTTGCACGCGCAATGCACGAGTCCTGCATGTGCGCTGCCCGCACTACCCGTCTTGTGAGGAACACACGGTTCATGCTGACAAACAATCTTATTCTTCACAGCAATCCTTTGTAGCCTAGTGGATAAAACTGCCAAGCTAATATGCGAAGGGTTGTTCGTTCGAAACCAGATATCGGCACTATATGTTGGAAGTTTTAAAAAATGTGATGTTATCCCGGGGCAGAGTGACAATATTTAAGTAATGCCCCCTAATCGATGGGCCATCAGGATACGACTAGAAATACTGCCTTGCAAGAACAATAGAGTGACGTCACTGGAGGTTTATAAGTCATGGTAACCTGTGATGTCACAATGATTTACAAAGCATTGTGATGTAATTTCACTGAAGTGATATCTCCTGTGGATCGAAGTTATCCAGAGTTTGAAACAGAGTAATTACAACCATAAGGAGTCTGACAGAGCCATGGCATCACATCATCTTAACTGATCAACTGTTCTCTTAACTGATCAACTGTTGTTAAAGTATTACCATAGCAGCAGAAGAATCCTGATGAACAACCTTCTTTTTGCGCCGCCTGAAATGGATAAATGGCCATGTGCATATTAATGACCCCTGTAATAGAACAACTGTTACAGCTGACTGTAATGATAAATGAAATCTTATGAAAACAAACTGTAACAGTAAAAACAACATTTATTTCTTCTAGACTGACAAATGTTAGTACATTTTTTCCAAGTTAAAACGATCTCTATAACCAAACACTCGCATAAAGGACAAAGTAATATAATGACCCTCAGCCCTATGCCTGTCCACTTACGTTCCCGGTGAAGTCTGTCCATCCGTGGTTTGATCCTTAGCCTTGTGTAGGTCTGCATGCCTGCGAGTGAGGAAGCGGCCAGTGTAGGGGACGTGCTGTAAGGCAAGCACCCCCGCCCGCTGACCCTCCTCACTGTTGCTGGATGCGGAGTTCTCCATGGACCTGCAACAGGCGGGAAGGAGCAGACGTCTGTCAGTGTGTGTGTATTCTGATTGGTTGAAAATGTATTCAGGTCAGATGGCTTTTCATCTTTTAGACTCAATTAAAGGAAATGAAACCTACTTGCACCCAGTGCACCAAACAAAAATGGGCTGCACCTGCTGATCAATATAAAATCATACATAATGCTCCAGTTTTGGGATTGATGATTTAGAACATCATTATCAAAAAAATATTTTTGAGTCTGATAAGATCATATTATCAAACATCATAAGCCCTAGTGACAAATGATAACTGACTACAGTCCAGTAATTGCTTGTTGATCATTTGCAGGAACTAGTGACGGAAATGATGACAAACACTTACCCAGCTCTTGATCGATGCAGTTTGGTTATGAAATCTTTCATGGCCTAAAAATAACAGAAAGTATTTTCATTCCATTCGCACAGCAAGGATCAGCATCATATTTTATTTTCTTGTTATAAAAGAACCATCACTATTTATGCCTGAAACTGATTAGGCTTTCCCTCAAAGTGTAATCATTGTCATTATAACATTGTATCTGTGTAATGATCCAACAGGACTGATACACATGTAAGCATGTGCTTAGAAAACTTTACCAACAGACTGGTCCAGAAGTTGTTAAAGGGACACTTAATTTGGTGACTTGGGTAAAACAATTTGAGGGAAAAAGGGAAGAGTGAGTGAGTGAGTGAGTTTAGTTTTACTCCACACTCAGCAATATTCCAGCTATATGGCGGCAGTCTGTAAATAATCGAGTCTGGACCAGACAATCCAGTGATCAACCGCATGAGCATCGATCTGTGCAACTGGGAACCGATGACATGTGTCAACCAAGTCAGCGAGCCTGACCACCCGATCCCCTTAGTCGTCTCTTACGACAAGCATGGGTTACTAAAGATCAATATTCTAACCACGGACCTTCACGGGTGAAAAAGGGAAGAAATAATATATATATTTATTACCCTCCTTGCTGGGATTGCCTGTGGCAGGGTGTAATCCCTCTCTAAGCCTACCACACTCAGCAATATTCGAGCTGAATGACAGCAGCATGAAAATAATCAAGTCTGGACCCGACAATCCAGTGATTGACATTGTGAGCAACTATCTACAATGACAGGTAATGCCACCGAGCCTGTCCACCTGATCCATCTGGCTGCCTGTGACCAAGCACAGATTGCTGAGGATCCATCCCAGCCCTCAATCACAATGGGGTTCACTCACCAGAAGTTTTGTCTCATGGGTCTCAGTCATGCCCAGTGATGTCAGCTTACGGAAAACCTGTAAGAAAACCAAAATGAAGTAAATCTTAATAATTGTTGAATTTTTTAATCATTGAAAGGCAGTCCATTATCAAATACAGATCTTCAGAGCTGGAGTTTAATCATTACTTTGTATCTTAAATATCAAAATCCCACAGGCATTATGGATATTTAGAATCAAATATGAGCATTCTTGGATGTCAACACTGAACAACAAGTTTATATATTTCCTGTTGAATGGTTTTGCCTGAATGTCATGATGATGAAGATAGTAGTGAGACTGAGAGTAGATATCTTCTGTACCTGAGCCAGGTTCTCCTCCAGTTCGGGGTAACCGGGTCTGTGTCCAGATCTGCTGATGCTCCGGATGTACTTCCTGTTGTTGAGGGTTTCAAACATGGCATCGATGGATGTCGACCTCAACACATAGTCGAACACAGTCCGTGGGATGGGTTCATCTAGTGCATTCAGCACTATAGGCTACAAGGAAGTGGTTGTTTTGAAACAGTTGTCATGTTCTAAAGTTTAAGTGTACAGAAACAGTAATATCATGTCTCCCTACAGAACTGCAAGTCTCAAATTTGTCTATATTACACATTTTATTTACAGCTGATGGGGGTGGTGGGGTAGCCTAGTCAAAGCGTTCGCTTGTCACGCTGAAGGCCCGGGTTCTATTCCCCACATGGGTACAATGTGTGAAGCCCATTTCTGGTGTCCCCTGCCATGATATTGCTGCAATATTGCTAAAAGCGGCATAAAACTAAACTCACTAACTCACTACAACTGATGGGAAAATATAATCTAGGTTCTGACCAGCATATATCATGAACATATTTTGAGTAAGGTATCTCTGAGAAACAGAGTCTTACCCCCTTATCCAGCTGGAGCACCTGTTGTTTAAGGAAGGGGGCCACCTGCGGGAGGAGGTTACAGTGGAGGTCCGCAATGTTCATGATCCGAGCCACCGCAGCAACAAATCCGACTGCACCCTGCCGGATCCAGATGCCCTGTGGAGCAGAATGAATGTTTGTGGGCTTTACACAAAAACAAACTAAATCAAAGGGGCTGTAAATGCTCAAGGCCAGGACACACAAACCAGCAGATAACTGTCATTGAAATTGTACATGTTATTGTACTATCAATTCCAGCAACCTGATGCTATGTTTTAAACGTAGATTTTTAATCATCTCTTATGGCAAGCCATAGAGTGACATCACTCTTGTAACAAGGTCCCATCTGATGACATTACCAGACAAAAGTTTAGAAATTGGGGATAACAATTATAACTAACTTGAAGAAGCTGGAGCAACATTACTCTGTGTTACGTGATTGAGTCATTTAAGTTCTCTTACCGGGTGAGCAAGGAAAGGGACTATCTCCTGAACAAACTCCTGCAGCATGGGCTTCTGTAGCAGACCAAGTTCTGACAGAGACTTTATGGCCCCAAGCGCCTTGTGGACAACATACTCTTCTGGATCACTCAGGCCCTGTGAGCAATATCAGATTGCCATTATAGTGGCATGGGGATACCATCAAATAGTCACATAGTAGGGTGGGGATATCTTCAGACCATCAAACAGTATGATGGGGCATATCATCAAATTATCATTTAACAAGAAGAATATCACCTGATATTCATGTGGCAAGGTGGGGAATATCATCTGACATTCATGGGGCAAGGTGGGTAATATGATCCAATATTCAGGTGAAGAGGTGGGGAATATCATCAAACAGTCAAATAGCACTGGGAAGAATATCATCAGATATTAATACAAACAGGTGGGGAATACTGCAAATATCACATATCAGGGAGGGATGGGTCTATTGGTGTCCGGGACCTAAGCTTGCCTTCATCAGTATTTCTGCTATGTTGTGGTGTGTAACCTTGATGTGGGTGTGACCATCTGAAACGTTTACCACTTTGGTGATACACACAAGCAATACAACTCTGCTCAACAAAATGTAACACTAATATCAGATGGGCATACACATGGATTATGTGAACAAAAATTATATATACTACTCACACTTTGCTAAGGATCACAACAATTCCCAACTTTACTTAAACATAGATTTATAATTTGAAATTGTATCCATTTAAACTAGATAAATAATGATATGGTAACCCCTCTTTAGGCAAACAGCCACTTTAATCTAACCTTATGCACTTGATACATGAGTAACCATAAAATGGTTTTTATGGCACCAATCAACCATTTTGCAAATCATGGAACGATTCATTGACAAGTACACAACACCTGTGAATAGCAGGTATGGGATCCACAAGATGCAGTGACATACTGAAACCTAGGATCCATGCTTACAATAAGCTTAGATATTTAAACCAAATTAGACCCCACATCATAGTTTTCTGTTGAATCAATGGTTTGATCCTTAGCAAAGTGTGAATAGTATATATAGTATGTAGGCTTGAAAAGCACTAAGGCTGTCTGTGTGCTGAACTGCAAGACACCATCACTGTACAAGACCTACCTGTTCTAACAAAGGTTTCAGGATAGATGAACTCTGCCAGCCCACATAGGCTGCCACGCCCACAATATTTTCAAAGAATGAACCTCGTAGTTTCCAGTCATACTGAAAAATTAAACATTTATAATCACAAAATATAACATATCGTGAATATATAGACAGCCATGATTCTGCATGATATTAACAAATGTTTAACCCCACTGACCCTTGGAGGTTTTTGACAATACAGTTACATTTTAACAGTAAATTCCATGTCTCAATCTGTTAGTGAAGCAGATATCATTGAAAGCTGCTGCTAAGCATCTATGTCTGAATTTTGTCCACCCTAATCACAGTACAAGAGATGCTCACCTTGTCATTCAGAAATGTGATCATGTGAGAAAGCAGGACATCATTTGCTGAAAACAATCAAAAGAAACAGTTTATTATCTACCCAACTGACTTAAAATCATTTTCATCTCAATACTTTATGAGACAATACTATGAAGGCATAACATATATTCACAGTGCTGCTCTCCCTTTTATTCTGAAGTCAGTAATACTGCAGTAAAATCTTAGCTTGTATATACTAAGTAAGAGTCAGGCAAACCAGTGGTTGATAGCAAGGATACTATCAAGGGGGATAACTCACAAACAGACAGGTAACACTGATATTCATACTGCTTGTCAGGCCACAGGCTTTAGAGTATTTTGATCATCATATTATGTCAAAATACAACCATGCAGGTACTATGAAGGCTTCCCACATGAAAAGCAATATGTTACTTATCATTTCTTTCAACAGGTCAAGACATAATTTCAATGACAGAAACAGACATCTATTTAACATGTTTTTGAGACTATCAGAGCCTGTAAGGAGTCAATGCCACCTGAAGAGTCTTCAGCAACCAATGTTGCACATCAGGTGACTTACGTGATTGGGTGGTCAGGCTCGCATACTTGATCGATGCAAATCATCATATTCCAATTTCATAAATCAATGCTCATGATGTCAATCACTGGATTGTCAGGACCAGGCTTGATATTTACTAACCAGAATAATACTGAGTGCCGTATGAAACACAACAAACATACAAACTCGAAGTGCCCAACATAAATAAATACAAGATCAACAATAAAATACAAAAACTGGTAATTATTCAGAAAATACATAAATATTCCCCCACTGCAACAGATGAGACTGCATTATCCACAGTTCTACTTGAAAGTGGCATGGCAGGCTCAGGCTTGACAATGGCAACAGAGGATGCCCTACCTTTCTGTCTGCCGAAGAAGACACACAGTCGAGTGATGCCTGACTGCAGGAGTGTCTGCTTGACCAGGTTGTCTGGGTCACTCAGCAGAGTGACCACTTTCTGTTGTATCGTTTCCTGCAGCGTCTGAAGCTCCACATCGTAGCTTGACTCCAGCTGAAACAGAAAGTGTCCAGTCAAATTTTGTGTTCACTGCACAACTCTACATATCTCTACCTGTCTTCCTTTATGTTGCACTCAAATCACATGCATACCTGGCTTCCCTGTAATCTATAGAGGGGGCTTATTACAGAGAGAGTGGCAATATGGCTGCAGTCACGTGGGAAGCAATTGCGGGAAGAGGCAAGGGGCCCAATCAGGGTGAGTAAACTTTTGACTGTTCTTGGGAACATGAGGACAGAGGTTTCCACTTAACCTTCAGAGGAATAAGGAGATAAGCAATAAGTACGAGTCAGGATAAGGAAAAATTAGGTTGTATTTGAGAGATCGTCCCTCACCATATACTGGGAGTCTTCAGAGTCTTCCTGTATGTCAATCTCTGACAGCTCTTGCAGTTGGGTCATCTCCAAAACTCTGAGGACAATTTATGAAATTACATATGCAGTGCTATGGTATTACAATACATTTATCAAATTTATGTTACCAGGCAAATCAGAATAACTTAATTCTGTTCTGCATAACTTTTCAATTAGATCACAATTTCACTGACAATTCCATCAGATATTTAAATATAAGAAGCCTGTACAATATTTTGTCAAGCAAGGTCTAGGGTATTAAACTGCTTGTTAGAAGACCCAAAGAAGGAGCCTAGTGGTCATGCTCTTTGAATTGGCTTATAGTGTATCACCAGTAGCTATCTTTTACTGGTTTCCCAGTCCATGCTAAGTTATTTACAAGAACTGTAAAATAGACTGAATACTGCAGACTGTGGCATTAAACAACATTTATTTCCCTTGTTGCATTGTAGTAACACCCCTATTTCAACACATACATTACTTAGACAAATCCTTGTTTATAGATATAACTCTGCACTCACCTGAGAGCTGTTTCTGCCAAATGTGCTATGTTTTCAGCATATGCTGCCCTCACTAGAGCAACTTCATCATGAACCAGGTGGGTCTGTCAATACACAATCAGTAATGCAATTTTGTTTCCATATCTGTGGAGAGTTATTGGGTAAAATGCTGCGTCACGTAAAACCAAATTTGACTATGACTGAAGTGATAATTTTGCTATTGCACTAACCACATACAATTTTTTCAGGTATACTAGTCAATAAAGCTGAATTGTGTTAAACCAAATTTGGTTCAAATGGCATCTTCTTTGATGACTGTAGTGATGATTTCGCAATATTTACAATACACTTGCATAAGAAAAAGACAAGTCAATAAATGGCACTCATGTAATAAAAAGTAATATTCCATACCACAAAGCAATAATAGCAAATTCACTTTTATTATTTATGCCTTTCCCAGTTGACAATCTGGAACAGATTCAATCTCCCCCAAAATATGCTTGTTGTATTAAAGAGTCAACTAGCGTGATCTAATGGTCAGGCTTGCTGACTTAGTTGATGCATGTCATTGTATCCCTATTGCATAGACAGATGCTCATCATGTCAATCACTGGATTGTCAGGTCCAGACTCAATTATTACAGACAGCTGCCATATAGCTGGAATAATGCTGAGTGGTGGCATTAAACAACAAACAGAACCCTACTCGAAATCTTTTCTGCTTTATATACATCTCAACATAGTGAAAGGTTTGTACTTACAAGATTTGGGAAAATATACTCTGGAAAGACATTGGAGTCACTGAAAAAGATTCAAAGTTTGCATCCTCAGTACAACAGTCTGTGATGGCCGCCACTTAAGCTGAATACAGTCCAGTAAAATTAAGTTCTGTCAAGTAAGCAAATAGTCAAATAATAACATCAAAATCTACAGAAAAGGATGCTTAAGACCAAACACAAGATAGTACACTAAAAAGATTTATGTTTTTCACAAATTACCAGTACTTCCTTTCTGAAGGGGTGGTGGGGTAGCCTAGTGTTTACAGCGTTCGCTCTCAGCGTTCGCCCGGGTTCAGTTCCCCACATGGGTACAATGTGTGAAGCATATTTCTGGTGTCCGCCGCCGTGATATTGCTGGAAAATTGCTAAAAGCGGTGTAAAACCATACTCACTCACTCGATCTTTTCTGAAAGTTCACATGAGTAAGAGGTGCTGCACCATGATTGAGAATCTACCTTGGTACTCAGTATGATTTACCTTGAGTGCGGTATTTGAGGGTCCCTGGGACTCATGCTAAAATTTTCAGGGGTCCTGGACAACAAAATGGGTGTCCCAGACACTTAAATATTATTATTAATACTGTTATTGTATTGTGTATCATGATCAACACATTAATTGTTACGTTATTTAAATTGCAAATGATACCATAACCCAGCTAGTAGCAAACTCAGTGATAACTTATTGTTACTTGATTGGAATTTTTAGAAAAGTATTTGGACTTTATCTGCGTCCCTGTGGATGCGCTAATAAGTTTTGTTGCGTCCATTGTCAATTTGTATGCATATAGGACGCAGGAATTCGCGTTTTGTAAATCCCTGAGTACTCTAGTATGTTATTGCACTGATTTGTTTGAAGGCACATACATGAGTCATAGGTCAAGTAACTGGTTGGTGTACCAAGATTAAAATCTTCAGATCCTCTTGACAACTTTCAAGCACTAGTATATTCAGATATCCTGAACATATGGGATAGTCAGATTACATATCTTCATCTCATATGAATGCATCAACAAAGATGGAAAGACAAAATTGTAAGGCATTACCTCCTTGGGACATTCTTGATGTCTGAGAGACAGTCTGTGATTGTCTCAATGGTCTTGGCACGAACACGGGGAAACGGGTCATTAGCAAAGTGCAGCTGAAAGTATAAATATTGTGTAATAGAAAAGTCTATCTATCATTAAAATATGTCTGTAAAAATTAGATTCTGTAATTCAGAGCTAAATGAATGTTTTACATGACCCACTGCTGTTATTGAGAACAGACTTCCAATTCCATGTATCAGTATCCAAACTTACCATATATGGTATGATTCTATCCAGGATGATGTCCGAACTGACATATTTGGACAATTGCAGCAGTAAATCCAGTCCTGTCAGCCGTGATTCATAGAACTGAAGCAGACAAACACAAGTGAGGTGAAACAGAGTTTGAAATAAAATAGATAATATCACTTACATAATGATGAGCTTGTACATGTGTGTGGTTGTTGTTTCTACTAGTCCAGATACGGATAACAACTTACTACACAATATACAAAAAGTTGTTATCCACACTGTCATAATCTTTATTATTGACTAGTAACTTCTTGCATGCTGATAAAACTTATCATATCATAGATGTTTTCAAGTCAATACAGAAATCTGGCTATATCTATAATCTTGTTTAATGATTTTCTTTTTAACCATGGAATAAGCTGGCCATTAGCATCCTTTGAGATATGTGATCTTGAAAAACTGAACTTTCATAATTCATTTTACCTTGAACTTATTTCTTGAGACAGATCCTTTTTTCACAGATTTTAAAAACAAGCAGTATTGCCTCATATATAAAAAGTTGACCATATTGAGGGCCTACCTAACCTAGGAAAACCCTGTAGATGTGATATGTCGTTAACATACATGTATATCCCGTGAACTGGAGCCAACAAGGGAGATAAGCAGGACAAGTGCATTGTTCCTCTCCACGTCCGTATCATCTATCTTCAGACTCTTTGAGACATTCTGATAATGAAACAATGCAAAGGTCATTGATACTGAAATACTGAAACAATGCATTGAAACATTGCTGAAACATTGCTGGTAATGAAACAATGTACTGAAGCATCCCTGATACTGAAACAATGCTTTGAAACATTGTTGATAATAAGGGCTGCAACGATACGGTTCGATTCATCGAAAATCGAATCTGACACCTTAGTTTTGATTTTCGATAGCCATTATCACTATTTTGATTCGATATTTGAATACCTATTGAAATGATTTCATAAAAAATCACTCATCCTATACTGACAGTTCAACTTGATAGCAATCGATGTCTTTTTCATTATGCAAGCAATTTTCATAAATATATTCCGTACGCATTTATTTTAAACTTTTTGCATATCTAACATTTTAAATGCGTAATTGGTACGCAACAATTATTTTTCAATGAGTAAATGGAAATTTTCTATGTGTATTTTACCCGGATACGCAGCTTATCTGGGCCTCTGCCTATTTAAATTAATCCCACACAGCCAGAACGTAATTTTGACTCCAACTCGAGCAGTTTTGAGCGCTGAAATAAGGCAAAACGTGATTGGTTGTCCCCGGGCTAATGATCCAATGAGAATTGTTGTTAGTAGACATCGTCAAGTTGATGATGGATTTCACACTAAAAAAACTGACTCAGGGAGTTAAATGAAATCTGATGTTTTTACTTGTATGAAGAATGGAATCGACAATGATCGAATTGAGGGTCCAATATCGAAAATTTAATTGAGGTCTGGGTGAATTGTTGCAGCCCTACTGATACTGAAACAATACACCAAAGCATTGCTGATACTGAAACTAACATATTGAAGCATTGCTGATACTGAAACAAATGTATTAAAGCATTCCTGATATTGAAAGGATTCAAGCATTGGTGATACTGAAAGTATTGAGGTATTACATGTAATATAAGTATTGATGCAATGCTTGTATTTAGATACAAAGACTGACTGACTGAGTTTGGTTTTACGCCGCTTTTAGCAATATTCCAGCAACATCATGGCGGGGGGACACCAGAAATGGGCTTCACACATTGTACCCATATGGGGATTCGATCCGGGTCTTCAACGTGACGAGCCAACGCTTTAACCATTTGGCTACCCCACCGCCCCAGATACAAAGAAGACCTGTTTATTCATATTACTAAGAAACATTATGTAGAGTTTATGTGTCATGTCCCACATCTCTTAACACCAGACACTATACAGGTGCTGGTATTCTGGCTGCTGACAAAATCCGGGTTAGAAATGGTGGCCAGCAACCTATGCTGGTCATAAGGATGATCAGGTCGTAAGAGGGTAGGGTAATGTTCGGGTAGTCAGTCTCGCCTGACTTGGTTGATGCATGTCATTGTATCCCAATTCATAGACAAATGCTCATCATGACAATCACTGAACAGTCAGGTCCAGACTTGATTATTTACAGACTACTACCATATAACTGGAATATTGCTGAGTGTGGCATTAAACAACAAACCAACAAACCAACCAACGGTCAGGTGGTTGTGTTCAGAAAGTTGATAGATTGTGTGCCATCCATCCTCCTCCTGTATCAATCATTGGATAGTCTGGTCAAGATTTTGTTATAATCAGAATATTGTTGAGGTGATTGTTAAACTAGAAAACAACAAGAACATAGACCCCTTTCAGGGACTCCATGTGGCAGCTACGTACCAGTGAATCCTGTCATCAGCGGGTACAATGGGAGACACAGCAAACTTCTGCAGGTACAGCTTCAGGTATGTGTAGAAGTACTCAGGGAAGGCCTTTCCGCGTTGCTTGATCAAATACTCCTCCGCTGAGAGTCGATGGTTCGGATCCTTCTGCATCATGTGACGGACTAACTCCTGTTTGGGATATAGGATAAACTCCATATTGACAATTTATCATGAAGTATGGATGCATGAAAAACATATCACAATGCATGAATTATTCACAATGTTTTCATAATACAGTTGTCCCTTGAGAAGACACTGGCCTCAGTGTCCATGGACATCCTAAGGAATATGAGACATCTGTGTTATTTCTTATATCAAATGTGGACTGAGTGATATAAGTAGTTAAGTTAATGAGTGAGTGAGTGAGTGAGTGAGTTTAGTTTTATGCCGCACTCAGCAATATTCCAGCTATATGGCGGTGGTCTGCAAATAATCATGACCAGACAATCCAGTGATCAACAGCATGAGCATCGATCTGCGTAATTGGGAACCGATGACATGTGTCAACCAAGCCAGTGAGCCTGACCACCCGATCCTGTAAGTCGCCTCTTACGACAAGCATGGGTTACTGAAGGTGCATTCCAACCCGGACCTTCACCTTTAGTTAAGTTAATGAGGACATGATGATGTGTGTGTGCATACTTGTGCATAAATGTGCAAAGCATTCTGTTGTTGCTTAACAAAAACACTTAAAACTCTGGAAGTATCATAACAAAAGTATTTCCTCTACCCTTATGATAATATAAAGACAAAGTAAGGCAATCTGACAGAACAAGACATGACTGTGCAAGAGGAAACCTCTTGTATTTGTTTTTATGTCATCATCTGACAAACTGATAAATAAGAACCATTATCCATGACAGCAGTGCTTACTCTGATGCTTGGGTCTTCGATCTTCTCAAGAATCTTCCAGGGACTGTACTCTCCACTCCTGTATGCCAGCAACTGGGACAGATCGAATGGTGAGGTACCCTCTGTGAACAGCTCCGTGATAACACAACTGTAACACAGTAAATTTGTTGATATTTATCATATGGACTTATCTATCTCTGAAATTTAAACAATTTGTATTTTGAGAACTGCTAATTCAAAAGACACAATTGTGGAAAAAAACAAAAAAACAGTTTAATTTAATATCTTTTCTTCCAACCAGTTAAACTAACAAATATCCAAATGAAATATTAAAAGTTGGGCCATATGAAAAGAAAACTCAATTGATTTTAAAAATTCGTTTTTCTCTGTGTTATTATCATGATAGAGATGTTATTCTAGCCCAAAAAGTTATGAACTCAAAAGTCCTCAAAACAATTTTAGTCACGATCTAAAATTACTGTCACACATGAAATTCCTACCCGAGTGAAAATATGTCCATGGCAGGATTAAGATCACCAGTCTTGACCTCACTTGAGGTCAGATCGATGTTCCCTGATTGACCAGCATTGTCAGTGTTCTTCAAGCCACTCTCCACAAACCTCTCTGGTGCAATGTAACATGTCCGGCGTCGGGACGTGTCAAAGAAGTAAGAGAAGTCTGATGGATTATCCTGAAATATTTCAAAGTTGAACACTGCAATAGTGCAACAAACCAGGTCTCCAAATTTTCATGATCGATAATTTGTTTGCTTGCTAATAAATGATAAATTTGAAAAGTACAACCATTCATCATGTGCCAAGTTCCACTCCTTGCTACATTTACATTACCCTAGTCAGTGATCAGTATTCTCAACTCCCTTGGGAATACACAACCAAAGCTGCCTCAAAGGTGCCAAATGGTAACAGTCACATTACCTGACACCAATCTTCTTGCCTTTATTCACTTGGGAATCTATGAAGCTCCTGTCAGGGCCAGGAACAGTAATTAATTGTCATTGTTTGTTCTTAAACACCACACACACCATTCAAAGATTTAATTGTCTTGTATGACAAAAATAACTTGCTAAGAACTTTTTCTAACCCATAATCCCATAAATCCCAATCCTATAAATCCCATTCCATAAACCCATAAATTGATATATCCAAGCCCATCTGAATCCAAAATTCAAGCACTTCTTGATCTGCCTTAGCACTGACACTTACTTCTGGTAAGTATGTTGGTTTGAAGCTGGCAAAGTCTGTGATCAACACCCAGTTCCAGCCAGTGATCATGATGTTTTCAGACTTAATATCTCCATGGCAAACCTGCAAAAATGACATCTTGTAAATACATGAGTATACTCAAGAAAGCAGTCTTCCCACTACTTGGCAGCAGTTTGTAAATATGCAAGTCTGGACCAGATTATCCAGTGATGGACATCATTAGCAACAATCTACACAATTGGGATATTGATAACAGGCATCAGCCTGCTTGACCACCGGATCCATCTGGTCACCTCATATGAGCAGGAATGGTTGCTTGGGACCAGCTCTGACTCAGAACCCGCACTGAATACGAGGTGAATTCATTTAGTTACAGAGGATTCACTATGTGTCAGTTTTACTGTACAGTAAATCTATCATACAGGTGACTCCATCACATCATCACTCAATGTGCAGCATATGTATCACTGACCAAGACATATATGACTCATATATGCATGTACACATTCCTACAAATGAGTCTGGTTTCAGGCTGCTTTTAGCACTATTCCAACAATAGCATGGCAGGGGACACCAAAAATGGGCTTCACATATTGTACCCATGTGGGGAATTGAACCCAGGTCTTCGGCCTGATGAGCGAATGCTTTAACCACTCAGCTACCCCACTGCCCCTTACCTAAGGCCCTTTCATGATATCATGGCAAGTACAATATCATGGATTTAGTTTTACCTTGACTTTGTGGCACTGATTAAGGGCACACAACATCTGGAACGCAATCCACTTCTTCTCAATACTGTTGAGGAACGGCCGGGTGCTGATCCTATCGTACAAACTGTCCTTAACATACTGTCGGAAAAGCAATGCAGCTTTCTCAGATTGCTGGAACGAATTATTACCTTTATCAATATCATTCCTGAAAAAATAAACTAATATGTGATACAAATTGTATAGTAAATACTTTTTGAAGAAAAATGTGACTGCATATTGATGATCAAATGTGTTTCCATAGCATTAAAATCAAATTAGGAGTTAAAAATGCATTAAGCAAACCTTTTCTTATTCCTAATATATGGCACTCATTTGATCTCACACATGCAACATGTATGGGAGCCATTATTGGATGACAAACACAGAATATACAACTCATGCAATATCCCTTAATATACACAATGCTGTATCAAAGTACCAGTGGATCAATCTGATACACCACTGAAGATATTGACATGCTATTTCCATATTAGAGTGAACTGTTGTACTACTATTCTAGCAATATTACAATAGGGGCCAAAAGAGCGGGGTCTTGCTGGCTCAGTGGCTCCTTGCCAAGAGTAACCTTTCAACATCAGGGCACTATGGTATAAAAAAATATCAAACTAAAGATGTGCCAAGAAACTCAAATATTTAATTGTTTTGAACTCACAATTGCTTTTTGAAATGGAAGGCAGTTTGACGTTCCTTTCAGACGCTGACTTATTTCTGAAAAAGATATCACATTCAAACTCAGTATCAGAAAATGTTCAATCCAGAATGTAGGGTCATAAATATTACAAAAGCATTTATTAACAAACAGAAATATATTTAACAATTTTCCTCAAAACAACAATTAATTTTTATCTTTGGCATACATGTTATCTTTATGATCCAAGCCACATCTAACAAAAACAAGAGTAAACCTACCGTCTAGCTTATCCCTATGGGTTGACAGGGGTAGTGATGGATCGTGGATAACAAAAACTTTAACAATTGCAAGTCCCTCTTTGCAGCGTGCCCTTGCCACTTTGAAAAACCTTGTGCTTCCTTGGCTGAAATGGATTATAAGAAGGTATAACTTTATCATGCAATAGCCCTTGAATGAATGACTGTTTGGGATGTTTGTGATGAAGTTGAATCCAAATCATAGTTGATCAAAACAAAAAAATATCTAATCTCCTAATCTATATCAATGACATTATTGCCAATTATCAATTATCATGATATTAAAAATTCATGTGTGCTGACACTTAATAAATCACTGAGGATTCAATGTATTAAAACACATTCTCACAATATGGTCCATATCTTAATACTGATGTCATGATATGATACAAAATAATTCTACAAAACCCCTATATATTCTAATATCAAAGAGAACAAAATGCAATTCAACCAAATATAACAATTCATTTTGAAACATATACAAATGGGTGTGATCTCTAATCAGGTAAGACAGAGGCATTGTGACTCACTTAGTCTCAAATTCATAGTCAGGAACATCTGACAGGTACTGCTCCACTGGAAGAATCTGAGACGGAGCAATCCCAGTTAGTTGGTTGCCCATTGTTTACGTCTGGTTCCACTTACCTTTTGGAAACAATAAACAAACATTTGGAAATATTTTAATCTCTATACATGCAATGTTTTATCAAGCACATCTTCTAACAAGAAACTCAGCCAACTGATGAACATAAATCTGAAAAGTTCCCATTCTGTCAGAAATTACAGAGGGTCTTCTGCATTAATATATGAAGGACCTCTTGGTCTTGATAATAAGTGTTTCTTGTGTCTAATGCAAAGAAATGTATAAAAGCTGTGTTGTAATATTAATCCCCAGCTCACAGAATGATGGCACTCATCAGGGTAACAACATTCTTTCAAGCATAACTTTGGTTAGCACATATAACCCAATTATATCTCTATGGCTGCAGTGAGGAACAGAGCTCCGGGATTTATATTGGAAACGCCCACTTATCTGTCAACATTTGTTCTTATCGGTATTAACAACAGGTGTCCACCATCATGTCATGAGAGCATTATACCCTGAATCTTCACATCAATCATTTTTACTATTTACAAAGACCTAGCACTCAAATCAACATATTTGCAAAAGGGACAAATCAGAAATCTAAGATTTCCTTCGTAAGTGAGTCAAGCCGTCAAAAGATCAAAGACAAAATAGTAGCATGTATATGTAGCTGTACTACTGGGTTCCGGCAGGTCCTTTAATATGTTTAATAACATAAACCTGACTCAAACTCCGCGTTGGTAAACCAAACTTTCGAAGCAGACCAACGGGATAGAAATTCGTCTGCTCGAGTTATGAGGCAGTAACTTTGAGGTAGTTCAAGTAGATCTGTACAATATATCACTTTGCAACACAGTAATGATATCCCTATATACATCAAACATACAATGAATACCTAATCGGACAGAAGATGAGACAATTGACATACTGATCATGGGTGGAAGGAAGAACGTTAAATTCACAACGATGAAATCGAGTTGTTTTCTTCCTTTTCACAGCACTGTGCACTTCCGGTTAACGATGCTATTTTCTCAGAAACACATTTTACATTTATAAATATTTTGTATACAGTTATCATAAGACGGGAGAAAGAAACAATTCTAAGAATGCGTATTTCATTAATCAAGTTAACAAGAAAATTATACGATAGAGTCGCTACATGATGAAAGAAATGCACACAAGTTTTCACATTTTGTTCAAGTTTTAAACTAGTTTAATAGAATACTGTTTCAATTTTTTCTAATCTTGTACCACCTGTGATAGTAATATTTGTACATTTGTTGAAAATTATGAGCAACAGATTCATATATAAGTAATCATGACACTTTAATAATAAATTCATAATTATTTATTGCCATTTTAGATTTCATAAATACTATGAATACTGCAAATACCACAAAACGATACCAAGTAATGTTAGAGAGTGTATTATTTGCCAACATGGCGGCCTGCGAAGAACTTCTAACCCATGCTTTTCCAAACATTGACGAGGAAGTGTCAACTTACGTCAAAGGTTTTTATTTAGTTTGATCATTGCGCTCGTATTTTATTTCTCGTCTCTATCCATTTGTAAAACAGTTCTAACATTGACCCCCTAGTTCATCCCAGAAAGAACAGATGATTGACACGTGCAGTACCGGTCTCCTGTCAATCATCTGTTGTGCAATATTGGTTTGACTCTGAGTTCCCAACGATCTACGGATAAGGACCCCCCTCCAAAACATAAAAAAAATACATGATCACCGGTAATCGCCCTTAACCTATTGCAGTTTAACGACTAGATACTGAACTAATATTATAAAGACGACAAAAGCCCAAGGGGTAATTGCGAAAAAAGAGTGAGTTATGTAAAACCGAAAGTGTCGGATGGGTGTTAGCAGTGACTAGATTGCAGCACATGCAGCACTATCTATCACTAATTCTAGATTGTTGGCAGATTGAGGACACACTGTTCACATGGGTGCATTAAAACATCAAATAATCTAAATAGTGCATACTTCAACTTACGACTGTCAGTTATTCTCATTAAATCAGATCTTTTATTCGGCTTACCTTTAGAATACAGCTCCACAAACTTTAAAAATACGTCATAATACCCTTTTACGTAATGTAATGTGATTTTGTTCGAAAGCACGTTCTCGAAACAATGCCTTATGACGCCTGCATGGCAACACGGTTGTCTGGCTCAGCGAGTGCGTATAAGCTCTGCTCACTGGTGTTTCATCTCTACGAGCTATTTCATTGCATAAGCCCAACGATGTTGAGAGTTTCCAGTAGTTTTATACCAGCGGATGCACCAGTTTGAAATATTTTTCCTTTTTCACTAATACACTCATATTTACTTGTATTACGGGGTGCTGAGGTGTTATGTTTTGTGTATTATTGTATTTTGCATTTTTTCAATTTACATATATATTTTTGTCATTCAGTAATTGCACCATTACGTAGAAAGTGTTTTATTAGTATTTTATTTTTCGAAGCGGTAATAATGCATTACACTGGACACGTCAGTCATGTTTATGCCGGTTCGGTGAATGCATTCTATTTATTTGGATTAATTCTAGGGGTTAGGGTTCGGTGAATGCATTCTATTTATTTGGATTAATTCACACGTAACACACGCAACATTTGTTCAGTAATGATTCGAAGGCTAACTCACCCTCGTGCCGTCAATACACATGCTCATGTCTCCCTTGTTCCTTAGTGCGATCCACATTATCCTTACAGTGTTCCCTACATCACTTTTCTGTCACAAAATCACCGATTTATATAAAAGCGCATCATTCATGCATGCACCGTGAAATCTACGTGTGACGCCTGACGTCAACAACCCTTTTCAGTTTGAGGCATATCGGCTCATTCCACGCCACACGTTATCTTGTAGATTACGGAATGGTACGAGTGTGCCAAATGGCATCGGGTCCATTCGGCAGGTGTCCGTAGATTAAAATCACGAGACACCAAGTCTACCCGTAACCTTCGGAATTGTCCGTGACCTATTCGACTCTTACCGTTCAGTTCTGTGACGTCACAGGAATGACTCGATAAATTTGCACATTGTGCAACGGTGTGGACGTAGCTCAGTCGGTTAGCTGTCAAGCTAACAATCCGATGGTCGTGGGTTTGCGTCCAACGGGTTCTCACAAACTGGTTGCTTGTCTTAATGACACGTGACCTACGGCAGAGATCTTCCTCAAGAGAAGTTGTGGTGCTGTATTCTAAAGGTGCTCCCCAAATTATACATTTCTGTAGGACTGTTTATTCGTGAGAAAATTGTTCTGCAATATGTATTATGATATACCGTATATGACCATCTATAAGCCGAATTTTGAGGACCAAAAAAAGCAGTCTGTAGAAGGGGGTCGTCTTATCCATGAGTTACACTTTCGTCAAACTTTTTTCCAGGGGTAAGAAAACAACATCGTATCACTGCGCGGGAACAAACAACAGAAGACGACTTTGTCAGTAGAGACGTCAAATTTGCAATTAAACATCACTAGACAAGATTATTTACCATTTAAGTTATAAGTTGTTTTTGCTGGGCATTGTTTTATTTGCAGGGATTAAGATTACCGTGCGTATTTGTCTCGTACACAAAGCCGGAAATAGCAATCAGCTGTGCACACGTTTCCCAGTAACAAGTTCAAACATGCACAATAATATAAGCGGGGCCGAATTCTGACGCGAGTCATCAGTAAAATATAATACAGAATACCATTATTTAACCCAAAGAAATATATCCTAGCATTGTGTAATTTTAGTTACAGTTTTTGCTCTATAAATTAATTAAGATTACCGTGCATATCTGTCTCGTACACAAAGCCGGAAATAGCAATCAGCTGTGCACACGTTTCCCCGCGAACAAGTTCAAACATGCACAATAATATAACGGGATGAATTCTATTGATTGAATACTATTATTTAACCCAAAAAAATATATCCTAGCATTGTGTAATAGTTTTTATGTAAAAAATATATAATCAACACTAAGGTTATACGGACCATCATGAACGTGGTAAGCACGTGACATGGCACGAGGCGGTAATCAGTTTGTGATTGTTGAATGGGGTAAAATAAGCAAGCCAGTTTGTTGCTACAATAAATATGATATTTAGAGAAGCAAAATATATTATGCATTTTCTGTCAACTACACTTCGTTTCGATCCGTGAGTAGACACAATATATATGACAGTGAATTCTTTGAATAATGTGGATCGACAGTGACTGAATTTGATGGGTTTACGGCCGATGACTTGTGAAAATCTCAGAACTCTCTTGCAGAAATGTCAGTGTTTATTGTTAGTGGACTATTTTTCTTATTGTCATATATATATAGATGAAATATGGACACTTAAATAATATATTTTGAAACAAAAGTTGACTTCAGTTTTTATTTACCGATGGTACTTTTTCACAAAATGGCCTCGTTGTTGATGCAAGCAGTGATCTTCGGGATATAAAAGGAACACAAACACATGTTGCCACAATACACGGTAATCTTTATTATGTAATATTCTCACCAACACTTACGCTGTATATCCACTTTCCAAATGGCGTCTCGTTGTTGATGCAAGCAGTGATCGTTAAAAAAAGGTAAACAAACACCGGTAATCTTTATTATGTAATATTCTCGTAATGGTGTCTCGTCGTTGATGGAACATACTTACCGGGTACTCTGGTCTCTGTTGGCCGCGACCCATCGCGGGGGGTCGGCCTATCCATGAGAGATATGATTTTGACACTGATTTTGAGGGTCAAGTTTGGGGGTCGGCTTATCCATGGGATCGGCTTATAGACGGTCATATACGGTATATTGTGATGCATTGGGAGCTGGAGTGATTGACAATGATTAAAGATGTCCATCCTTTTACCTTCATATTTATCTAATTATTACAATGTCAAAGTCATCATGGTCAGTTGCTATTGTTGTGAGAGAAAAATCAGTTCCTTGCTTACTTCATTTTGTCTTTTTTTGTATCAAAGTAAACATAATTTGTAAATGATTTTTTTGTGTTTTACCATTGTGATGACCATGCTAAATTTGTTGGTTTAGATTTCCTTTTTGATGTGATGAAAATATTTTTATAATGTTGGTTTTCTTGTAGGCCTACTGGAGGATTGCTGTGATGACTTTGCTACGGCAGACGACCTGTTTGATGCAGTGGGTGTCATGCTTCTGCAAGCTGATGGGGAGAAGACAGAGGATGACATCATGGAAATATGTCAGAAACTCCACAGCCTCCTGGCAAGGTAACCTGAGTATTGGGAGTAATGATAAAAGCACAAAATTTTGTTCGTATGTTTTCTTATTGTTTGACACTGCACTCAACTATTTGCCAGCAAGGGGAAAGGGCAGGGATGTGTGTTTGAACTGAAGTATGTGTTGGATCCAGACTGAATAATACTGGTATTTAAAGATATGTATTTAAATTTGCCTTGAATGATGGGAGTGATGGTTAGAGCTTAAGTTCTAATTGGGCATTTGTTCAGAGTGTTAAAGCAAAATGGCAAGTTTGCCATATTCAGTTGCTGTATTATTCTTTGTATTGATGTTTAGAAATGATGGTGTTGCCGTGAAACTGATGTTAGGCAGATACTTTGATCAAACATTTAATGATATGTTATAATCACAAAGTAGTAGTGCTTAACCAGGTCTTTGCGATCAAAGAGATGTTTCGTATATTGTGAGGGGCAGTGGGGTATCCTAATGGTTAAAGAATCCACTCGTCACCCTTAAGAACCGAGTTAGATTCCCCACATGAGTACAATGTGTGAAGCCCATTTCTGGTGTCCCCCATCATGATATTTCTAGAATATTGCTAAAAGCGTTGTAAAACCATGCTCACTCATTCATGTATTTTGTATCTGTTGTTAAGTGATTTTTAAATATGTTTTTGAGCTTTGTATTCCTATTTTCTGGAAGTGACTTTTTGCAAATCAGTTCACTCTATTAGACCGAGAAATACCCAATAAAGTTACCTTTGCCAGTTTTGTATGTTAATTTCTGGAACTGGCTGTTTTTGCTTGTGAGTTGACTCTGTTCGACTGAGAAATAACCAACAAAGTTACCTTTTGTCACTTCCAAGTCAAATCCAGTGTTTATGCAATGTCTCTGTTGTTTATTTCTGTGTTTGTTTGAAAACAGTGACTCTGGAGTGTCAGTGAATGGCCAGCACCGTGTCCTGGATGCCCCTGTCCAGATTGGATCAATATCCTCAGGCTTGTCCGAGATGAGCGAAGAGGACAGCAGTATATGGCTGAAGAAGAAAGACATGGGCTCTGTGAGTCTATCCAATGGCTAAATATATTTAAAAAAGACCCAGTATTATGCATACATACTGTTTGCAATAGTTTAATCAACAGAAGCACAACCACTGAAACTACATCACTGATATGAGACCTGGGAAACTTTGGGTGGGACTACTTGTTTTCTCCCAAAGTATTTCCTGGATACAACTGAAAGGAACAGTTCAGTTGTCTACCCTTGCTATAGTTAATTAGGTTCAGATTAGGTAATCAGCACCCATTCGTGTTGGAAAAGTTGATTTTATTGGTGACCAGGACCCACGCACAAAGTGATCTCAGCACCACAACTGTTGTTAGTCAATGTTAGAGTATGGTAGTTATGTTCATTGTAGCATTAAGATCGCTTTGTGCAAGTGGCCCCAATTAGTGTCACTATGTGACCTAGGTGATTGTGTCTTACCCAGACAACATGGACTTGTTCCATGATATCACCCTAAATCTGCTAAGCCCAGATTTGATATGGCCACAGATATACATGATATATCTGGGATACTGCTGATTTTGTCATATCACAACTTCATTTACTAAATCATTAACTTTGTATTTTAGAAAGTGGACCAGAAGAAGCTTGTGAAAGCTGAGGCAATCAGACAGAAGAAGCTGGATAAACGATCAGAGAACCCAGTTAAACCTGCAGACACCATGTAAGCCAACACAATCTGATTGTTGCATAAGTGAAGTGACCCACTATAACATCATAACTCAGAATCTGTCAAATCAATACATTTCCCAAGACAGTTGTACCCCTTTAGGTTACACAACACCAAATGTTTTTCCATAGACTTCTATAGTAACCTTTCATTTTTCCCTATCCTGACTCATGATCTTTTGCTTATCTCCCTTTCCCTTTCGAATGGTAGTGGAACACTTGAATCCCTTGAAGTTCCCGAAGCGGACGTATAAATACACTCACCCACGAGTCACCTCCCCTGCCCCTTCCCGCGCAAGCCATATCATCAACAGCCATTCCAGGTACACATGGGTACAGTCAGGCCTTTAAACTACAATAAAACACAATTTCTGGCCAAATTGTCTGGCTCATTTTCCGAGCACAGGAAGCGGAACACATCAACCCCAGTTCCGCACCAAATGTCACCTACTGTAAAATTCTGTACACACAATAAGCATAAGTGATGGTGATAAAAATGACAGCACTAAATACTTAAAATTGTGGTCAGTTTTAATTACTGGATGGATGTGCTTTTAAAAAGCATAAACATCTCACACTATATCATCCAATGACAGCTGTCACATGTCTCTGTCTCTTCAGTTGTTTACATACGGTGCTCGCTCAGGGAGCATGTGTTTCTGATTTAGTGTAGTGGAACCTTTATTTCTGTTGTAAAAATGTCCCATAACTGCTGTTGTCATTTTTCAACCACTGGCATCATCAGTTTTAAAATGGCAGGACTTTAGCATCTGTGTGAGGATGCTGTCAAAGTATTGCCTGAATTTGTAACAGTCTCTAAACTTGCCTCCTTTTGATCTAGCACCTTCTGTAAACATGCATCTGATTAAAGCCCTGAAGAATATATGGATAGACATCACCACAAGACTGCTAACCTGTCACTCTTCATAAACCTGTCCTCCTGTAAAATGGCACATTCTGCAAACAAGCATAGTGTTGGGCCATGAAGAAAAAAATGGTTAGATATCAGCACAATACCCGTGATGATACGGGTTAGAATTGCTTTTCAGCAACCCATGCTTGTACTAAGAGGTGACTAACAGGATCGGGAGGTAAGGCTCGCTGACCCGGATGACACATGTCATCATATCCCAATTGTGTAGATCAATGCTCATGCTGTTGATCACTGAAGTGTCTGGTCAAGACTCGATTATATACATACCGCAGCCTTATAGCTGTAAAATGGCTGTGTGGGGCGTTAAACAACAAACAAGCTAAACCAACATCATCAGCACAAACCTGCTGGTTCAAGACTGTATTCAGTACCATGTCCGCCCTGATTCTACACCAGTACTCCATATTCTCCTGGTTATTTAGACAGAGTTACATGTGTATCAGCTGATGTATGTTTTTCAGATTGGAAACTGCCAGTGCTAGTCAACAGATCAACAGGAAGGATGCCAAACTTGATGCTTCAGGAACGAACCGCAGCTACGACATCCGTATAGAAAACTTTGATATAGCGTTTGGCGAAAGGTGATTTGTTTTTGCCCGTTGCTTCATATATAGCTCAAATATGTGAAAGTTTCATGTCTCAGCATCATTTCACACATGGGAAGTCATGAGAATAGATCCCCAACTAATCCTTAGTTGTTGAAAGCGACAAGTGAAATGAAGATTGAGTCATTACGTGTGACCTGTGTTCTGTGTTTTTAGCCCTCCATCATGAATCAAGCATATTAGCTCATGGTTTGCCATGCCCACATAATATTAAAATACTCTTTGCCGCAAACATTGACAATCAGTGTCTGAAACTCAGCAGAGTAAACTGGTAGCCTTGAAGGCTAGCTCTTTTTAAAAAAGCTGTGGGCCCAGTGGAAACGTTGTAGGCCCATTGAAAAAAACTGTAGGCCCATTGAAAAAACTGTAGGTCCAAACATTTTTGATACATACTCTTGTAATATTAGTTACAACACACAAATACATCATGAATTAGGCATATCGGCCACCAGAAACAAATTGTCATGAGCTCTTCAGCAGTGCAGTAATAGTATCAACAGCAAGTAATGTGATACCCTCTGCACTGTGTTGAGTGCATATAAACACTGGTCTCATAACTCTGGTCTCATACTGAGTCCCAGTCAGTATGACTGATTATTGAACTTTGAAGCTGGACTGTTTGACAAAGCATGTTTACAGCTTAGAAAAAACTGCAGACCATAAGCCTGAGAACAAATCTGTGAGCCAATGTTAATTTTCAACTCTGCTGACAATACCCAATCAGTTTTGGATGATTCATTGTAACATCACCATGGTTACTGAACAGTAATATTTATGTTGTTTTGAAACATTGTTAGTTTACTATTAGGAAAATGATTGGTATGTTTCTATATATGTGTATTTACACAAACAGACAGACAAATCTAATGTTTGTTTCACTTGATGCAGGGTGCTGATGACTGGTGCAAGTATCCATCTGATAGCTGGACGGAGGTATGGATTTGTTGGCAGGAATGGCCTCGGGAAGACTACACTACTCAAGATGATATCCAGGTAGGACACTGCTTCTTTGTAATCTGCTCTGAGATTTGCTGTTTAGAGTTGTGTCCCTTAGCAGCCAGGATTTGCTGATTCAGGGTTTGAATTCTGGATTTTATCATATTCTGAGTCTTGGATTGTGGCCTCATGTTTCCCTACTGTGTCAGTCGCTCTAACCTGTGTCACAATGGTTACAATCAAATGACATCTACTATTTCTCTGCCAACAAAGGAGCTGTGGGATTGCCTAGTGGTTAAAGCATGGGTACAATGTGTGAAGCCCATTTCTGGTGTCCCCCCGCCCTGATATTGTTGGAAATTTTAAAACTTATCCCATCTCACGGTATGCACTTCTCTCTCTTGATTCGACACTGAGTGGAACGATGTAAACCTTTTCCCTTGGCCTCTCTTGTCCATCCGCCCAAGCGCTCCATGCTACCCTCATCATTCTCTTTCTTGCTCAACATTTTCAACTTAGTCTACAACATGGGGAAAGCTGACCAGCCAAAAAAAGAGGAAAAAATGCTCCCAGTGTAATAAAGTGTTCTCCGCAAGTGATCCACATGCGTATTGTGTTGACTGTATGGGACAGTGTAAATGGGACTCTCGTTGCAATAAATGCAAGGATCTTACCTTCGAGGCGTTTGGTGACTACACTCGGGCTTGCGCTCGTCTTGTTGCTGACAGAGCTCGTTATGCCGCATCACTTGACAGACCCAGTCCCTCCAAGAAAGGAAAGTTTAAGCGTCCTACTTTGTCTGCTCAGCGGTCACAGTCCCCTCCCTCGAATGAAGAGGATTTCATGAGAGCGTCGTCAGATTCTAACATATCGGAAGACCATCGGAAATTGTTGGGCTCTCAACATTCCAGCTCGAGTCCTTCATCTTCGACTACGTTCCGGGTAGTGGTTGTCGAGACTGCTACCACCCCTCAGGATACCTCTGCACAGTGGGACCTTCGAACTACACTCTCTGTCTCTCGTTCTCCAGACCAGTTATCTCGGCAATCTGGCTTATCTGTTTCGGACAAGAATCATCTGATCTCGACGCCTGACTGCGCAGAAACCGTTCTCGCTGTCGTCGTTCATCCAATAGTGAGAGGAACCAGTCTACCTCGCCTCAACGCCTGTCAGTGGTTACCTCGCCGTCTCCTTCCCATTCGGCGAAAAGAAGTGTTGTTTCTTGCGTCCAGCTACCTCGGTCTTCTTCTTCGCCGAAGCCTGCCAGGTCGAATCACAGTTCGCCGGATCACGCTTCGCTTGTCCGCTCCCCTCCACCTTGACTTTCGCCGAACTATCCACCTTCCCCAGAATTAGACCGGCTCTCTACGAGACAGCTTTCGCCGAACCGGTCTTCACCGAAACACCAGTCTAAGCTTTAGCATTCTCCAGATCGATCGTCTGCTAAACAAACTTTTCACCTAATCGGACTTCGTCGAACCAACGGCAGACTTCACTGAGACGGTATGTGGTGAATCGACTTCGCCGAATTGGCCTTCTTCCAAGCGGCCTTCTTCCAAGCGGTATTCAGCGGAATGCCACTCTCCGGATCATCTGAGTACTTCCCCCGAACTCTGTTGGATCCTACAGTCATGTCTCCTCAGCTTGAACGCGGCTTTCACCGAGTCGTCTGGATCAGTCTCCTATTATTATTATTCGGACATGTTCACCAGGTAGACCTGGTAGGTCTACTTCACCGCCACTCTTTGACTCGTTCGCATTCAACTAAGCACACGCCTCCCTCTGCTTCGTTGAGATCGGTTCTTAATTCCAAGTCACCTCCTCGCACTTCATCTTCACGTCATCATGGGACTTCCGGTTCTGTTTACTCGACCCATCAACCTAGATCTCCTACACGGTTGACTGCTGCCTATCGTTCAAAATCCAGGGGACCCGTGAAGATCCGGGGTAGAATAGGTCTTCAGCAACCCATGTGCTTGCCATAAAAAGGCGACTATCTTGTCGTAAGAGGCGACTAACGGGATCGGGTGGTCAGTTTCGCTGACTTGGTTGACACATGTCATCGGTTCCCAATTGCGCAGATCGATGCTCATGCTGTTGATCACTGGATTGTCTGGTCCAGACTCGATTATTTACAGACCGCCGCCATATAGCTGGAATATTGCTGAGTGCGGCGTAAAACTAAACTCACTCACTCACTCACTCAAAATCCAGGGATCGTCGTTATCGTTGCAATATCTCCTCAGCGGGTCTCCATTTGTGCATCCTCTTCTGGTTCATCCCCCTCCAGACATAGATATGGTTCTACGGATCGTCGATCTAATCAACGGGGTTTCCGAGGTTCGATCGACTTCTGACGGGACTCCTGCCTCCTCGCGTCTCTCTACTCGGATTGTGCCAGATTCCTGGACTCTTGCAGAGGAAACTACTCCTCCCCCAGATCTGGCTGTCAACAACAGGCTGCTCACTCTACGGGGAATGCTCCTCCCCTCAGACCATCTGTTAGTCCTGGTGTTCCACCTGATCCTACGTCTCCAGCACATTCTGTTGTGGATTCCCCAGAGGGAAGTTTGGGCTTTGTTGATGAACCTCAAGTTTTAGCTTGGATAGTGGAGAAACTCCACCTCCCTATGACACAAAACCCGGAGGATTTAACTCATTCCTTCTCCATGAGACGAGACTTGACGTCTATTACCTTCCCGCCATGTCTTTGTATTGCTCATCTAACTCCTTGGATCATGCCTTTAAAGGCCTTAAAAGGATTAAGGATGGCCTGTCTTCGCCTAGATTTTCCCTACCGGCGGCTCACTCCCATGGTTTCCAGTCATTGGCTACTGCCCCTTCGGTGGATGAAGATGTCCAAACACTTTGCGGGAAGAGGACTTGTTCAGCCTTTCTTGTTGAGGACAGAGAACTGTCTCACATGGACACAGCTATTCGTCTCTCCTTACCCTCGATCAATTGCATCATCTTGGCGGTGGACACGGTTGTGGCATGAGTGGAGCAACTGCAGGCAAGGACCTTACGACAGTGGCAGGAACTTTTGGGCCTCTTGACATCGGCACAGGCATGACACGGCGGGGACAATTGCAACTGCGTCCGTTGCATTTCCTGCATCTGTATCTCGTCTCAGAGAATCTCAAGGAGTTGATTCATCTTCCGAACCCTTATGTCCTTTTCTTCAGTGGTGGCTTGTCCTGCCGGCGTTTGTGATGCCGTTCATTCCAATGCACCACTTGTTTTGTCGAGCAATCTCAAGGAGGGGGCTCATCTTTCTTCATCATTATGGACGGCACGTCCATGTGGTGGTTCTTGTAGAACAGATCGGGTGGTCATTCGCTGACATTGCGGAACTCTGGGAGTTTGTTTGATTCCGACAGACAACTCCACGGGACTGGTACATCAATCATCTCGACATTCGACCATGACACATAGGCGACAAACGGAAAACTTTCTTCAGCTGACATTTCAGTTCTTTCATCTGATCGACTCCCTTGCTATCGATGCTCGAGCCAGACACATTCCAGGAGTCAGGATCGGCCGTCTCCCACAGAGTGGCAATTGAACCCACAGATCTTTCGGGAACTGGTCTTCCCGTTATCAAGGGCCCAAGTCGACCTATTTGCCACGCGTTCAACCATCAGCTCCCACAGTTTGTCTCGCCGATATCAGACCAACTAGCATGGGATCTCGAATGTCTGGCGATTTCGTTATAGGGGCTCAACGCTTACGCCTTTCCCCCTCCAGCTCTTCTACCCAGAGTCATCCATAAACTCCGGCTGACCAGGCAGATTCTGCTGCTTTTGGTTGCACCTTACTGGCCAGTCAGGAGTTGGTTTGTCGATCTCGCACAGCTCGCAGACCTAAACCCAGTTCCTCCTCCTGATCGGGACGACCTACTGTGACACCCTCATTAGGATTGGCATCATGTATCCCTTCGCACCCTGTATCTGCATGTTTGGCACATCATCTGCAAAAGTCCTTAATCGCCAAGGGGTATTCTCGGAGAGTGGCTATTGCCATCACGTCTGCTCATCAGACTTCCACCCGCTCACTTTATGATGAGAAGTTTTGTTTTGAGAGATATTGCACCTCCAGAGGCATTACATCTCCCATTTCTACTTCACCTCAAATCGTTGCTGAGTTTGTTGAGCATTTGTGGTCATCTAAGAAGCTCAAGGGTTCCACTTTGGCTACTTACCTTGCTGCGATCAACACGGTCCTGGCTACCACCACAACCACTTGTCGGTTCCTGAGCTTCAGTATTTGCTCCGGTCCTTCAAGTTGGCCGATCAGTCTAAGAAGTTTAGACCTCCTGCATGGGATTTAGCTGTGGTGCTGCGTCATTTGGCCTCGACGGACTATGAACCCCTAGCTCAGAAGGACTTTGAGGAGATTTCCTTCAAGACCTTCTTCCTTGTGGACGTGGCTACAGCTTCTCGGATTTCTGAACTCCACGCTTTGGACATTAACAGAGTCCAGTTCGAACGGAAGAAGCATGGCAAAGTCTTCCTCGGTCTCCGTTGGGATTTCGTAGCGAAGAATCAGTTGCCGGGACAACCCGATCGTAATTTGACCATCCCACCGTTGTCCACGATCCTTGGGATGCATGACAATGAAGAGCTGCAGCTTTGCCCTGATTTTTCTTGCTGCTTCTAAAGATCGCCGCCGTCTCCGCAAGCGCCTCTTCATTCCGTTGTCCTCAACATCCAGGGCAGAAGTGTCTCGCACCACATTATCCTTCTGGATGAGAGCCCCCATCCTACGGGCTTACACCTTCGCTGGGTTACCGGCCCCGACAGCTCCCAATCCACATGAGACACGGGTGTTAGCGTCTACAATGGCTCTGCATAGTAACTGCTCTCTCCACGTCATTATGGAAGGATGTTTCTGGCGATCTGACCCGGTCTTCTCCTCGCACTACCTTCGGGACCTCTCAGTCAAGGATGTCCAAGGCCTGTACCAGTTTGGACCCCTTGTTCTCACACAACAGCTGTCTATGGCCCACCATCACAGATAGAGAACGGTCCCACGCGGTTGCTGCTTCCCTGTATTTTCCTGAATATGAGTCTGAACTTGATGTCTGCCTTATGTTTTGATTGCTTATGGATTAGAACCACCGTTGTGTCGAACTCTGTTAACTCGATATCTCGGTTGTCTCGATAAAACATCTCGGTCCCGGCAAAATCCTTTATAATTTATCATTATTCAAGCTCTTTTAATTCGATACGGATGTCTCGATATATCGGATATCTCGATATAATTTCATAGTCCCAACAAGCAAAAATACCCTTTTAACTCGATATTTGCAAAGAAACTCGATATTCACCTACCTTTCATGACCAAGTATCCCTTTGAACTGAGGTTGTTTCCACACATTTATCCACGATGCGGTGTGAATCAAAGTGGAATAATTAGGGCCTAATTGTGATGGTGTGAACTAATTAGGACTAATGGAGTTGTGCATCGTACCCACAGTTACGTTTCTACACTACTGATTATAGTTCTACTGTTTGCACTGACAAGACACAGGGTATCTAATCGCATGACTAGCATGTGATTGTTGAGTTGTTTCCGTTGGATAAGTCCAACTTTTGTATCATTCAAGATGGTCACTGTGAGATAGGATAAGTTTAAAATTTTGGAAATTTTAAATATAAATTATATATTTATATACTTATCCTTTCTAGTGATATATAACTCCTCCATCCTCGGATGTATGCAGATAGGATAAAGATTGATATTCCAGTGGCTCCAAGAATGAGAATGATGCTACTTTGGGTAGCTAAGTGGTGCATGCCCCATGCTTTGCATGACAACTAGGAAGCTGTCTTATAATGAGGGTAGCATGGAGTGCTTGGGGGGATGGACAAGAGAGGCCTTGGGAGAAAAAAAGTTACATCATTCCACTCAGTGTCGAATCAAAAGAGAGAAGTGCATACCGTGAGATAGGATAAGTATATAAATATACAATTTATATTATTTTTTCTTATCCTGACTCATGATCTTTTGCTTATCTCCCTCTCCTATGCGAATGGTAGTGGAACACTTGAATCCTTTGAAGTTCCCGAAGCGGACATAAAAATACACTCGCCCATGAGTTACCTCCCTTTTCCCGCGTAAACAGTCATGTGACCAGCCTTACTTGTCACCATCCGCTTGGGCGAGCACTGGAGTCCCGTATACGGCATTATATCCTTTTTATTTAGATCCTATTCTTTGAAATTACGCTGTGTATGGATTTGGCTATAATCACTTTGTATTTCCAATATTGCTAAAAGTGGAGTAAAAACCACTCACTCACTCACTCACTCACTCACTGTTACGATTCACACTGCCAGTGAAAGTGTTTAGCTATGATTTTTACTCTCTCAAGACACTGGTTATTAATAATTATAAAACGAATAAGTTGAAAAGATGATTTTGAATGATGAAAAGAATCTCGCTCTTCAAGGTTCTGAACTTTAGTTGACTCTCATTAGTATATCTGCTGTCCAAAACACAGGTGTGATTCTCTGTTTGTCCTCTCCAGCAATCAGCTGATGATCCCGTCCCACATCTCGGTGCTGCATGTGGAGCAGGAGGTTGTCGGGGACGACACGCTGGCCCTGCAGAGCGTCCTGGAGTGTGACGAGAGGCGAGAAGGGCTCTTGAGAGAAGAACGCCAGTTGAACGCACAGCTTAACACCCCAGGGTAACATTTATGAGTTTCTATTTTCTGTCAGCAGTTAGCATATGGCTCTCAGTTGAGCTGAATGTTTGCAATTATCATCTTTCATGCTGGAAATGATCTCACATATTTTATGAAAGAGCTGAGTTTTGTGTGTGCTCATATGTGTTTGTTAATACTCTTGGTTGAAACAAAATAGAACATCTTTCTCCTTATCACTTTTGTTTTCACAGAAACATTTAAAAACTTTTTACCTCACCATTCATCTTCAAGAAAATATGCATCAAGGACATTTTTCTTTTATTAATGCGCTAATGCCAAAAGGAACTGTTATGAACAAGAAGCATATGTAAAATATGTGTAGAAGCGTAGGCACTCACTTACCCACTGTACACATTTCTTAGTAATCATTCGTAAAATATTTCCGAAATTATGGTGCTAGAATATGCCATTGCAACGATATTAAGTTTCTGTTTGAAGTTTTGAAGTTAAAGTGCACTTGTGAGGATTCCATATGTATTTTCATTCTGATGAAGTATAATGATAGCCAGACAACAGATGACATGAACATTATGCTGGATAATGATGGCTCAAAAGTGTAATAAAATGCATGACTATTATTGACTTTTGACATTGTATTTTCTTTTCAGTTCTGGCACAGACAAAGATGTTTCAGCACGATTAAGTGAGATTTACCGTGAGTTGGAGGAGATTGAAGCAGACAAAGCCCCAGCCAGAGCAGCTGTTATTTTGGCAGGTCTGGGATTTTCGTCTGAGGGGCAGAGTAGGCCAACAAGGTGAGCACTACACAGAATGGCAGTGACATGGTTGTGAGAAAAGCATGATGGTTCCCATAACATAGACATACTTCCAAAATCACTGTCTTTTCCCTCAGTTGTGCATAGTGTAGGGAAATTACCACAGGTATTGTCACTTAGTTTAGTTAGTACATTTTTACGAAAGTTTCCATGTTCAATGTTGTTTGTTTGTTTTACAGAGAGTTTTCTGGAGGTTGGAGGATGAGATTAGCCCTTGCAAGAGCCCTCTTCACTGAGTGAGTTGTGGACACTTTTGTTTGCTAATCAGCCAAAATAATGTGACTGAAAACTTTAAGTAGCCCCTTACTAATTATGAATACATATTAATGTAGATGTTTTGTCATGTTTAATAAATCTAGATACACTTCATCAATTTTCCTCAAGATTGATTGTCAAGTGGAATATTTGATTAATGTGATTTATTTTCCCTTTTCAGACCAGACTTGTTGTTACTTGATGGTAAGTTTTACAAAGAGATGAGAAAACATTTTGATTGAATTTCATGGGTTGTCACCCCTTCCAGCTTGATATTCTCTATGGTTGTAGAGGATAGTGCGTAGGTCAGTGGTGCAATCCCTGACATGGTCACAGCAATAGACACTGTTGCTTCCCTGCCTCAGCATTAAGGGGAGCAGTCAGCAAGCTGTCAGTATCCTGTGTCTTAGTGGAGTATCCATATGAATACGCAGCATTTTCAATGGACCTGCAATTTGAAACTGCCATTGGTCTGGACTAGTTCACACAGAGACATGCATGCAGGCACATCACAGATAAAATATAAACTGTTAGCCCCATGTCATCCCCCTCACCTCCAGGACACAAGACCACCTCTGTGGTGTTGTGGTTACAGCGTCCGCCTGGAGAGCGGAAGGTCGCGGGTTCGATCCCCGACCGTGTCATACCAAAAGATGTTAAAATATGGTACTTGTTGGTCCCTGCCTGGGGCTCGGCATTAACGGGTACAACAAGGACTGCTTGGCTCAGAGTCAGTATAATGTGTCTGAGTGAGGTATTCATGCTTCACTGCGGCATGGTATCTCAGTGGGCTAGCACTATTAAACCAGCTTCAGTCTGGGCTAGTACAAGCAGCCGCACATACTCATACACACGCATGCATGTCGTCATATGAGCGAAATATTCTCAAGTACGACGTTAAACCCAATTTCACCTCACCTCACCTCCAGGACACAAGCTCCATGTTTTTCTTTAAGCTGTCTAAAATGGGAGCTTGTTACACAATGTAAGTGTGATAAGGTTAACTGTCCATTTAAATACCAGAAGGTTTTTTCCTTTAAGCTAACTATAGAGAAATGAGTGTTTCAGAAACTGCAAACTGTATGTATGGTTCTCTTTTTCCTGCATGGGCGAATACCTGGAGGTTTTTCTGAATTTTTTCATTCATAAATTTCGTTGTAACTTGGTACCTGTCGCGGGTCGGCTCGCTAGTGCGTGTCAAGATGGCGGACAGGTCCCTTCGCTAGCCTTCCTGTTCATTGGTTTCCCATGTGGTTTTTCAATGTTACAGGTGGTTTTAGTGATTTTTTATTTGTATCTTGGTACGTGTGGGCGTATGTCTACTGCTCGCATTTTCTGTATTACGCTAAAAAACCGTAATTGTTATGCTGCAGTGTGTTACAGTTCCTCCAGTCCCCCGTTGCGTCGGCCCGAACATGGCTTCGGTTGCTCGGCAACATGGCGGCGACAGTGGACGTGGTTTGGCGTGCGCGTCTGAGGATGCGACCAATTCAGCAAGCATTAGCTCAGCTGTGGTCCCACTCGCAGGGCTACGAGATTATGCTCATAACGCCAGAGTGGTTAATCCCTCACTTGCGATGGTGGACGGAAGTCGGGAATTTGTCCAGGGGAATCCCCTCACACCCGACACCTTTCCTCTCAGTTCAGACGGACGCCCCTCACAGGTTGGGGGTCCTGGCGAAAGCACTCAGCCTCCGCCTCTGGTCGGAGCTGGAGGTCAGCCTACATCAATGTGTTAGAACTGAGAGCAGTCCGCAAGGTGTTCGAAAGTGCTTCCGGTGTTGGTGCAGGGCCGTGTGGTTCGCCTAGAAATGGACAATCAAACGGCCATGACTTACATTCTCAAGCAAGGCGCACAGTGTCTCCTCGCCGCCCTTCAGGAGGCGGCAGTTTCTACTGTGGTGCGATCAGTTCAACATTCGGGTTTTGCCTGTTTATCTCCCCGGGGTAGACAACGCCCGCGCAGACGCGCTTCACGGCGATACTAGCCCCACACGAAAGTGGATGCTCGACCGGGAGATATTCGATTATCTCCCAGTTGTTCGGGTCGTTTCCAGGTGGATCTGTTTATGCGCCTGGGGTGACTAACCAGATTCCTGTGTTTTGCTCCCGGATTCGGATCCGGTGCGTTAGCCAACGACGCCTTTCAGCTAGATTGGGACGGACAGGGTACTGTGGGCGCTCTCCGATACCACTGGATTTCCAGGGTCCTGTCGAAGCTGACCGCACAACCAGCTCGCTACTTGTGCTTCTGGCACCCCTTTGGTCGGCACAAAGCTGGTTTCGGTAATTCTCAGGTTTCTGGCTCAGCCTCCTGTTCTATTACCTTTTCTCGACCGACCTCCTATCCCAGAACGGAGCGCCCACACCAATCCCAGGATTCAGTGGGTGGCTTGGCCGCTATCAGGGATCGCCCATGCGAAGGAATTCCTGCACCAGTTGCAGACACAATTCTGGCTTCGCGGAGGATTCACAAACGCTCAATATGAGGATAGATGGGCCTGTTATTAGCTGGTGTGTCAACAGGGGATTCTTGATCCCTTTCTACAGATTTAGTCTGTGTGTTAGAATTCCTCCAGTTCGTTGGAAGCCGGTCTAGCGGCTTCAACTGTTCGAGGATATTCTACAGCTATTTCTATAAAGCCACATTCCTGTTGACGGTGCTCTCTTGGGGCAGCACCCTCTGGTACAGCGCTTTTTAGCAGGCGTGGACAGAATCCGTCCGGGTTGTCCGGGCGGATTAGTCCCCGTGGGACTTGTCAATCGCTTTGATTGGCTGTCCGTCCACTGTTTCACAATCTGTCGGTTCTTTCACTCCAGCTGTTGACGTGGAAGACGGCGCTTCTTGTATGTGACTTCAGGCAGGCGGGTTGGCGATATTCACGCTAATGTCGGCGATCCGCGCTACTGTTTTCACAAAGACAGAGTTAGCATACGGCTGCTCTGATACTTACCGTCCTAAGAAGGATAGTCCCTTCCATGTGACGGCCTATTGAGCTCCCAGCTTTCACTCCAGCCTTCCCTGTCCGGTACCTCTCTACGGCGTGCTCACGCCTTAGATGTCCGTAAGACACTTAAGGCTTATATCAAACGAACAAGGGGTACCCGTAAGGGTAACCAATTGTTTTGTTGTTATGGCGGGGTTCAGGCTGGTCTTCCGGCGACCAAGCAAACCATTTCTAGGTGGCTTGTCTCTGCCATACACATGAGCTATACTCAAACAGGGCGTATCCCGCCTGTAGGGTTGAAGGCTCATTCGGTTAGGGCAGTGGCTACATCGACAGCTTACGCTGCAGCCCTGCCCATTGAGGAGATCTGCTCACGTGGCTATTTGGAGCCGTCCGAGCATCGCTCATCCATTATTACCAACTTGACAGACTCTCCAGTGAGCGTGCTCGGTTCGGTCAGTCAGTTCTCTCCAGTGGGCATGGTTCCACCTCTCTAGCCGATTGAGCTTTCGAGGTTTTATTGTGTGAACCGTTATCTGCCAATTTTTTAACACTGGTGTTGGGTTTTACAAATCTGAATGTTGGTCACATTGATTGTTGCACATACTGTCAACCAATGGTTTTCTCTCAAACGGATTATAGGCAGTCATAGAAACTGTACAATTATAAAACTTATCCTATCTTATATTCAACACCTTTTTTTGTTCCTTGACCTGCTTGTGGAAATGGCCTTGACCTTCCCCAATCATACCTCTGACCCAATAATATCTGCTAACTGCAATTCTTCATTGTTCTTTTTTACTGATAATTGTACATACAAATGTTCATGAAACATTGCTTCCAAAAGATCAGTGACAGTCATCGAAAAAACGAGTCCATTAATATTACAGTCATGTTGATCATATGATAATATATTTGATTATCATTTTCACTCACAGTGAACCAATCATAATGGTTGTAAGTGAACCATTTGTTATTATCAAACTTAACTTGTTCAATCAAATGCTTTCCATTTCCAGAACCTACAAACATGTTGGACATGAAAGCCATTATATGGTTAGAGAATTACCTACAGGTAGGCAGATTGTTTTATTAATATGTTTATTTACATAATGACAAGTTCACATAGACTCTTTATTTAGTAGTATATTCGTGTTGAAACTTTTGAATTAAGAAGTCTAAAATCTGTGTAATGTACCCAGGGGTGTTCAGGAATAACACTCAGGTCGTATTTGAGTTTTCACGGATTTAACGCCCCTGTTGATTATCCCAAATGCATCTGTATGAACATGTGGTCAGTTTCAGTCCTCAGTTGCATGTGTGTTGTGCTGGTGAGGTGCTGAGCATTAGTATTTTAAACAAGGCCAATCAGGTGTAAGCTGTCTTAAACAAAGTAGTGACCCAAGCTATACAATCTTACCCCACAGCTACCCAAATGCAGTTAAATAATATTTAAGTTAAACAAAGAAACGTCAAACAGGAGCAAAGTAGAAAGCAAGTTTATTTTATTCTGAACATCACAGTAAAAGCTATGGCAAGAGTTCCGACCATAAGCACAGCTTGAAATGTATTCTAGTTATTAGGATTATTTCGAGGGGTTAGGGTTAGGGTTAGGGTTTTTATTTAACAAAACACCATATATTGTTAGGCATAGAATGATAATATAAAAAAAAACAGGGTTATGGGCGGAAATCTTTCCAAAGTTAATACTAGTATGTTATTTCATTACAAGTTCATATATATAAATATACCATCCCAAAAAAGTAGGGGACATTGGATTTACAAGATTGATAAAATGCAATGATGAAGCCAAGGAGGAAACAGATGATGAAGAGAAATTAAGGGAAAATGTGACAATTTGTTCCATCCCTTTGGAAATGTTTCATCTGTATGGATATATATTACTTTTCTCATATGCATTGGCATTGGCTATTTGTATGCTCACAAAATGGAATATCCCCTACTTTTTTGGAATGGTATATGTAAAATACAGACATGTAAACAACATTGCCACAGTAACAACGTAGATGATGATATTCATGTATCAAACTGTGTCAGTGTAAGTAAACTGAGGCTCAGTATTATTCGTTACACTGCTATACTGAGCCTAACAAAACCTTGTGGATGGTCGCGTTAGCTGACCTTTTCAATGGACCAATCAGAACACAGCTTACCAAATCGCGAAAGTTGACATTCGCACATACCTTTTGAACTTTTACCTCGAAAAAGTTTTGTACCCGAACGATTCCGAATGCTATTTTCCGTACCGTGATGGAGCACGTCACAAGAGTGAGTAAACAGTCGCTGAAAATAGCGTTTTGTCAGTATTCGAGGATGTCAGCTTTCGGAAATATTAGCTAATGATAGCCATGTCAACAGAAACCAAAAAGCGTATATTCTGCAGGTCATATATCTGTGTTCTATGCGGGTTTTCATTTGTTATGAGATCAGTGTTGGCGACTGGGGAAGAGAAAATCCATTTTGTAAGTCCCGCCAAACCCTAAATAGTAGCCGTTGTCTGATTGGTTAAATCCGTTCAGCCGTCTTCGCGTTTGATTGGAAGGTCATAGGTCGCTCAAAGGTTACCTGACGCGACCTTCCACAAGGTTTTGTTAGAGCCTGAGTTTACTTAGACTGCAAACTTTGTGTGAATCTGTTTAATGAAATTTGAATTCATTCTTTCCAGAACTGGCCAAAGACAATTTTTGTAGTTTCTCACGATCGGCTGTTTCTTGATGCGGTTGCCACGGATATCTTGCATATACACTCACAAAGAATAGACTGTTACCGTGGCAACTATGAAGTGTTTCACAAAACAAGGGAGGAGAGACTGAAAAACCAGCAACGAGAATATGAAGCTCAGAAGCAGTACAGAGACCATATACAGGTAGTTAGAGATACTTGATTGAGGATTACAAGGCAGAACAGGGTGTAACAATGTACAGTAAACTAAATTTTATAGCAAATATGTTTATGATGAACTGGCACTTATTCTTTGTCCCGGCCAGTTGCTGTATATTTTAGTCGAAATGTATATAATATAACGAAATTTGGTGATAACTAACGAACAATAATGGTCCAATTGAGTTCATTATAAGAAGGTTTATGGTATGACTGGGGCCAGTGTGGGTGAACCCTGACACTACTGACTGTTTTACATGTTGCCCTCTTCTGGTTTGCTACCCGTGAAGGCCTGGGTTAGAATATTGATTTTCAGTAACCCATGCTTGTCGTAAGAGGCGACTAACGGGATTGGGTGGTCAGGCTTACTGACTTGGTTGACACTATCATCGGTTCCCAATTGTGCAGATCGATGCTCATGCTGTTGATCACTGGATTGTCTGGTCCAGGATCGATTATTTACAGACCGCCGCCATATAGCTGGAATACTGCAGAGTGCGGCGTAAAACTAAACTCACTCACTCACTCTTCTGGTTTGCCTGGTCCAAAGATGCAGGTTTTCCAGAACATTTTCCTGAAATATATACAATTTGCCAGGGTGCAAAATTTGCAATATTACGCTAATATACTTGTATTTTTTTACAAGGACTTGTGAGTGACTTATTGTGCTGAAATATGATCAAATCTGTATTTGAAATCCTTGGTAGTCCTTATTGTGAAATTGAAACTGAAAGGTACAGTAGACATTGCAAACATTTTTGTCTTATTCAAGCAGTGAAATATGCATGTCACTAATTGCCCTAGAAAATCTGACTTTTGGAGGTGACTAAGGCTCTGCTTATCAGGGACAAATAAATCAATAACAACAAAATTTATGCTTATGGGTTTCACTTAAATGTTAGGAAAATGTTCTATCACTTGGTCCAGACATTGTCATCATCTACTCCCTTTGTAAGACCTCATGATGATTCCACCATCTCCCTGGTCGAGTATAGAGATTCTGCCTGGAGAGCAGAACGTTGTTTTAATCCTCTGGCCATATGTTGCCATAACACATGAACATATGCTTCTTGTCACCTGGCCTGGCTCTTAGCCTTAAATGGATAAGACCAGCACTGGTCACTTCAGAGTTAACATACTGCTTCTGAGAGGGAAAACCGTTCAATATTTTTCAACAAAACTTGGCAGATATATCGAACAGAACCTAAAGTGGTGCCTTTTGCTATTTATAGATTTTTGTCATTTTTATTTTTCTTGATTTCCATGGAAACGTGTTCGACTTAGTCTCAAAAGGAAGGGGTGGGCTTCGTTTCCGGAGCACAACTCGAAAACTGTTCAATATCTTTCTACAAGTCTTGGCAGTGATGTTGGTTTTGAGGGAGCTGACTGTATATCAAACAGATCTTGAAGTGATACCTTTTGCTATTTGCAGATATTTGGCAGTTATGCTTTTCATCATTTCCTTGGAAACGATATTGACATGATATTGCTGGAATATTGCTAAAAGCGGCGTAAAACCCAACTCACTCATTCACTCTGTTGTTGGCCGGTTGCTGTCACATTGCTGGAAATGTTTCTCGTGTTGCATTAAACAACAGACAAATCACGAATGAATAATGAAAAAATCTACTGTTCTGATTTGGAATTTCCAACAAATAAGTTCTTGTGCTGTGTTAGAAACAAGATGGCACAAAATCACAACACAGAGTATATATTTTCAATTTTTTTGTGTGTTAAATTTATGTTTTCTGTGTTTATTCTGATCACTGTTTACTCTCTCCTGTAGGTGTTTATTGATAGATTCCGCTACAATGCCAACAGAGCCTCACAAGTCCAGAGTAAACTGAAACTGCTTGACAAGCTGTAAGTATGATGGAAGAAGATGGGTCCTATTTTCCTCACACATATTTAACCGACATGGGGGCGGTAGTGAAGACTTATGATTAATATGTTGTTTGTAATGCCAAAGTTCCAGGTTAACCCCTAAAAAGGGCGAAGTTCATTTCTTTGTCCCCTGTCATGATATTGCCATTATTATTTCCATTAAGAACTGCCCATGATTTGAGATACAGAAACATGCATACTGTTCTGAATGCAGAGGACCTGTGAAGATCTGGGTTAGAATCGATCTTCAGTATCCCATGCTTGTCGTAAGAGACGACTAACAGGATCGGGTGGTCAGGCTCGCTGGCTTGGTTGACACATGTCATCATATCCCAATTGCTAGATCAATGCTCATGCTGATCATCACTGGATTGTCTGGTCCAGATTTGATTATTTACAGATCGCTGCCATATAGCTGGAATATTGCTGAGTGCTGTGTAAAACTAAACTCACTCCCTCACTCCTGAATGCAGAGAATTAATGGTTGAGGATAGTTTGCCTTCACATATTGATGTATATAGGAAAACCAAGTTCTATGTATAGTCAACTTCTTTATTGCAATGAATGTGACGTTTTGGTGTAGATACTAACACCGTTATCTAGCAAGTGATAACAATGTATAGTATGGCACATCTTCATGCAGGGAGGTTTGCGAGTGAAAGCTTTCATTTTAGTGAGATTTCATTTCTCTGTTGCTACAAACTTATTTCAGTATCATTTATCACTTTCACCTATGTTCTTTCCAGACCACCATTAGTACCTGTTGCCAAGGAGACGGAAGTTGTGTTGAAGTAAGTAAATGTGATGTATATAGCATCCATTAGTTTTGGAATAACGTTTCTTTCATGGCTTCTATCTTGATTTCTACTTTGCATGATGCAGAATCAGCGAGCTTATTAATCTTTTTACATGCAGAAAACTTGGTATACATGAAATTATGTCTTTTGTTTTTGTGGTTCTCAGGTTTCCTGAGTGTGAGAAGTTATCTCCCCCTATTCTTCAGCTGGATGAGCTTACCTTCTACTACTGTAAAGACCAACCAATATTCAATAAAATATGTATCAACGCCAACATGGATTCCAGGATTTGCATTGTGAGTCTTTTTCGTTTCTGTTATCACCTGGTTTCTTCAAGCAAACTTCGCACCATGACCATTTTAGTCTGTGTTAAGGTATTAGATCTGCAGGTGCCTTAGTGCTGTAATCACTTTGTGTGTGTTGTCCATCTTTGTGCGTAAACAGTTTTCATTATTAAACATAACTTCCTTAGGTCTTGATAAAACCCTTTAATTTTAATGCATTATTTCTAAAACTGGCACTAATTAACAACATGCATGTATTTCTTGATTCTACTGAACTGATGAAGCAAAAACTTGCCAGTCATTCCCATACACTGACCCCCTAATTTATTCACTGCTGTTGAAATGTTACTAAGTTGCTATCATCATGGACGTCTTTGGTGATTGACAGACCTTTAACTTGTAGAACAGTAACCATGGTAACATCAAAATCATCTTGACGCATCTAGAGAGTTTACGTCTCGTGTACTTCAGGTTGGAGACAATGGCGCTGGTAAAACAACACTGTTGAAGATACTCCTGGGTGACCTTGAACCTGTGAAAGGTATCCGTCATGGTCATCGTAACCTGAAGATCGGTTACTTCAGTCAGCATCACGTTGACCAGCTGGAGATGAATGTGACGTCTGTAGAGCTGCTGGCAGCCAGATTCCCAGGTAGGAAAGACTAACACCATTCAATATAATACTTGTGCTAGCAGTGATACACTCACCTTCAGTTATATGCATAGACCTGTGAAGATCCGGGTTAGAATTGATCTTCAGCAACCCATGCTTGTCATAAGGCCGACTTACGGGATCTTGTGGTCAGGCTCGCTTACTTGGTTGACACACATCATGGTATCCCAATTGCGTAGATCGATGCTCATGCTGTTGACCACTGGATTGTCTGGTCCAGACTCGATTATTTAGAGACCGCCTCAGTATAGCTGTAATATTGCAGAGTGTGGTGTAAAAGTAAACTCAATCAATCAATCATATCCCATATGGTATGTTAACAAGTCCACTAAACTATTGCCCAGTGAACTGGTAAGTCAATAAAGTGACCCTAAAATCTGCTGAAAATGATGCTAACAGTCAAATACAGGCTCATAAACTCCAAAGTACTATGAAAAGAAATGCTTATCCTCAATTTAATATTTTGGTGTGCTGAGTTTGAGTTATTTTCACATTTTTTCATGTTTATATAATCAATTCCAAGATCTTGACTTGCTACAGTGTGTTCAGCATATTCTTTGATATAGCAGGAGGTGCTGGGGTAGCTGGATATTGCTGGAATATTGCTAAAAGTGGCGTAAAACTATACTCACTCACTCACTCTTTGATATAGCAAATCTCAGAATGGAGCGAGTCTTGTGTGCCTTGGTACTATGGCTTCTGGGATAGCACAGTAAACTACTTTTATAACGAACATGCTTTTAACAAACTAATTTTTTTGTCCCTCCTGCTTGCTGTATTTTATAAATGGAATCTGTATGATGAACTAAATGTAGTTGTCCTTGTTTTTGTGGTAAGCGTAGTTAACAGTCTTAGAATTGATTTCTTGTCTTGTTGACATGGCAACTGTGTGTAATCCATAGTGCCACTGGATAAAAAATCAGTCACTGGTTTGGTCCCAAATGAGAAATTTGCAGGCTGCAGAAATGTAGCTGGAATATTGGCAGATGCACAGGTAACAAGAAACAGATATTGGTTCAACTGTAACATGAAATCTTGCATTCCAGGAAAGAATTCAGAATATTATCGGAACCAGCTTGGGTCTTATGGCGTATCGGGTGAGCTGGCTACGAGGCCGGTCTCAAGTTTATCAGGAGGACAGAAGAGTCGAGTTGCCTTTGCTGTCTTGAGTTTATCCAGGTGAGTTTGTCATTGTCTTTCTGATCTTGTTCCTACTCCAGTCAACACAGACTGTATTGTGTTTCTGGTTGTCTTTTGGGTGCTGTAATCATGTTGATGTTCTTAGGTGATGGCCACTCGTCATAGATGCTGCATCCCAGTTGCCTTCCGCTTCTGCCAGGATACTTCACATGTCGTCCTTCATTGTCAACTGTATCATCACATGCATTCATTTGTCAGACTTGAGATGCCTACCATTAGATTTTGAGAACCAAATTTTGCTATGACTGTTGTTTTTGATCAAATAACAATCTCTGATATTGTTTGACATTTACTGCAAATATTCGCATTACAGACAGTCCAATGTTGATCGTAATAGCTCCATTTTTATGCAGGTATTTTTTGTATTCTATCTATATTGATTGCAGTATCAATCAAAGATATTTAATGGCGGACAGGAGATGTCAGCATATGCAGAAGCACCCTCTGTATTTAGCAACCTTAGCTTGGAAGTTTATAAGTTCCTGAAATTGTATTTTTACAGGAGGTTACTGTACTATGTTATTGCAATATCTTTTCAAATAAACCCATCATGTTTCAGTCCGAACTTCCTTATCTTGGACGAGCCTACAAATCACTTAGACATGGAAACAATAGAAGCTCTTGGAGAGGCCCTGAAGAAATTCAAGGTGAGAACATGCTTCTTTTACACAACAGGTGAAATGTGTCGCCAATTCTTCTGGCAATTAATGGGCACAGGTCGTTGAAATGATACTCTCAGGAAGAAAACACCCCTTGAATGTTAGTGCTTGTTGTGGTCTTCAGGTATATATATACAAGCTGTGTAATATAGCTGAAATATTTTGCTTGTCGGGTCAGGCTCACTAACTTGGTTGACACTGTCATCGTAGATCGATGCTCATGCTGTTGATCAGTAGATTGTCTGGTCCAGACTCGATTATTGACAGACCGCTGCCATATAGCTGGAATATTGCTGAGTGAGACGTTAAGCAACAAACCAGCAACCATCATAGATCGATGCTCATGATGTTGATCACTAGATAGTCAGGTCCAGACTTGATTATTTACAGACCGCCGCCATATAGCTGGTATATTGCTGAGTGCGGTGTTAAACAACAAACCACTAACCATCATAGATCAATGGTCATGATGTTGATCACTAGATAGTCAGGTCCAGGCTTGATTATTTACACCGTTGCCATATAGCTGGTATATTGCCGAGTGTGGCATTAAAGTACAAAAAAACCAAAACAACTTGAAATACTGTTCAAAGCAGCATCTGCCGCAGCTTACGTACTCAGTTTGTACTTTAACCACGATTATTTCTTTTGCTTCAAGGGAGGTGTGATACTGGTATCTCACGACGAGCGACTGATCCGGAAAGTGTGCAAGGAACTGTGGGTAGTGAAGGACAAAAATGTTGTTTCACTAGAGAACGGCATTGACGAATACAAGGAGCTTGTCAATGCAGAACTTCAAGCACAAGTTTAGGAAATGATGGATCTGTGATATGCAAACTTTTAACTGTTATGTGACTGAGGAAATTGGTTGCTTGGCCTGAAAATTATCTCTGAACCATACATGGTTTTCAGAATGAGAACTGAGCAGTTTTGTTAAGAAGACTGGAAACAGTGTCTCACATAGTCAGACTTGAATTCATGGAAAACAATCATGCAATTATTGACTAGGTTAAGTCAGTGTCTCAAATATCTTTGATCAAGATGCATTCATGGTAGCCATGGCAACAGTCTTCCATGTTTGTGATTATGGATGTGTTGAAAGACATTTTGTGTGACACCAATAACTTCGTAACATAAAGAATGTGCTTATTTGTTTAAAACAAGTCAGTAAAGCACTTGTTACGTCTGTGAATAAACTTTCTTTACTGCATGGATGCAGGCCGTTTCCACGGGTGATGGTATCTGTGGTTACATGGTTACCATGGTGATGGTGCAATATGGCACTTATTGACCTCTGCTTGTGACAAGAAGCCTGATTCAGACTTTGATCCAACAGAATCGTTTTTTGAGGACAGAATCCAGTTTGAAGCTGAAGCTTCTGATGCTGAGCTTAGTTTTGATATACTTGCTGTCTAAGCAAGTTGATGCATTTCTTGAATTAACTGTAAAATATATATTTTGACAGGGTGACGCTAATCACCAGTGTGGTGATGGTGTAGCCATGTGGTTAAGTTTTTCTTGGTCACACTGCAGGCCTGGGTTCAATCCCATCATGGATACAATGTGTGAAACCCAATTCTGATGTCCCATGCTGTGATATTGATAGCTGAAAGTGGTTCTACCCACACTCATTCAACAGTGTTCCAATGTTCCAGGCCTATATCATCTCTGTATTGTATTGGCTCTGGGTTCCATTTGCAAGTTCAGGGACCCAATCCACAAAACCTTCGTAGCACTATGCTAATTGTCATCCTATGGAAAAGTATAGTCAGGGACTGTTCATAATCTATGGCTTGTGGGGCATGATGATGATTTTTATGGAGAAGCATGTACAATGTGAATGACACACACCCACCAAAAAAACAACCAAAAAAAACAACCCCCAACCACCACACACACACACACCCCCACCACCCCCCACACCCTTAAAATTTATATACAAAGTAAGTGACCCCCGCATGTTATGTACAAAATTGCTATTCCCCTAGTACATGTGTACAAATTTGATGACCCCCCTACCTCCCCAGAACAAAATGGGTGACCCCCGACCCCCCTTAAAATCACTCCCCAACCCCAAGCCATAAATTATGACGATAGGTCGTAACATTACAAATTCTTTGTGGATCGGGACCCAGAATCGTATCCCTTGTTTTGACTTTAAGAACTCATCTCTATCTGAACTTATACAGATGTATTTAGCATTTAAATATTTATGTTTGGGAAAAGTAGTTATCTCGAATGCAACCTCAGTATGTTCTTAACAGGCTTCACAGCAGGAAGGGTCTCTTTGTAATAAAATGCATATACAAAATAAAGAGTCATTATTTGTATTGTATTTAAGTATTTTATTATCAATGTGATATATGTAACTTATATATTGATATTATGTCATTTACAGAATGAAAGTCAGTCCTGGTAACTTTATATTAGGAGTGTAACGATATATCAAAATATTGATGTATTGTAATTGTATGCCTTATGATTGTCCCATATCAGTATGAATTATAAAACCCTGATGATATTGTTGATAACAATCTATTGTTTCAATAGTTGCAATTAGCTATGATATAAATTATGTGTCAACATGCTCTGTGTTGATTTGTTGGGATTATGAAATCAGATTAGTGTTACTTCCATTTTGTTTGAGTTGTGACTGGGAGAAAAATATCTGATTTTGAAATTGCTGGCAATACTTTATTCCTTTCTATATCATTTATTACACAATGAACAAGTAATATTAATATTGTCACAACATGGATGCACTTTTTAAATACTTCCAACAGAGCAGAATTGGTTTAGACGATACACCTTGGGCCAGACAAATGTATTAGGTATTTTGTGTCAGTATTCCAAAGTGCATGAGCAGCATTTATTTTGAACTTCGCTTGTCTAAAGAATGTCTCAAAACTGTGGTGATCAGCTCAGTATGACCTGCCTGTGCCAGATTGTCTCAAGCTTGTCTCAGTTGTAACTGTGTTGATCTGCAGCTTGATCTGACCTGCCTGTGCCAGATTGTCTCAAGCTTGTCTCAGTTGTAACTGTGTTGATCTGCAGCTTGATCTGACCTGCCTGTGCTAGATTGTCTCAAGCGTGTTTCCGTTGAAACTGTTTCGATCTGCAGCGTGATCTGACCTGCCTTTGCTAGATTGTCTCAAGCATGTCTTTTTTCATTCTGTGTCGATCTGCAGCTTGATCTGACCTGCCTGTGCCAGATTGTCTCAAGCGTGTTTCAGTTGAAACTGTGTCGATCTGCAGCTTGATCTGACCTGCCTTTGCTAGATTGTCTCAAGCATGTCTTAGTTCATTCTGTGTCGATCTGCAGCTTGATCTGACCTGCCTTTGCTAGATTGTCTCAAGCATGTCTTAGTTCATTCTGTGTCGATCTGCAGCTTGATCTGCAGCTTGATCTGACCTGCCTATGCTAGATTGTCTCAAGCATGTTTCAGTTGAAACTGTGTTAATCTGCAGCTTGATCTGACCTGCCTGTGCCAGATTGTCTCAAGCTTGTCTCAGTTGAAACTGTGTCGATCTGCAGCGTGATCTGACCTGCCTGTGCTAGATTGTCTCAAGCGTGTTTCAGTTGAAACTGTGTTGATCTGCAGCTTGATCTGACCTGCCTGTGCCAGATTGTCTCAAGCTTGTCTCAGTTGAAACTGTGTTGATCTGCAGCTTGATCTGACCTGCCTGTGCTAGATTGTCTCAAGTTTGTTTCAGTTGAAACTGTGTTGATCTGCAGATTGATCTGCAGCTTGATCTGACCTGCCTGTGCTAAATTGTCTCAAGTGTGTTTCTGTTGAAACTGTGTTGATCTGCAGCGTGATCTGACCTGCCTTTGCTAGATTGTCTCAAGCTTGTCTAAGTTGAAACTGTGTTGATCTGCAGCTTGATCTGACCTGCACATCTAGATTGTCTCAAGCATGTCTTAGTTCATTCTGTGTCGATCTGCAGCTTAATCTGACCTGCCTGTGCTAGATTGTATCAAGCATGTCTTAGTTGAAACTGTGTCGATCTGCAGCTTGATCTGACCTGCACATCTAGATTGTCTCAAGCATGTCTTAGTTCATTCTGTGTCGATCTGCAGCTTAATCTGACCTGCCTGTGCTAGATTGTATCAAGCATGTCTTAGTTGAAACTGTGTCGATCTGCAGCTTGATCTGACCTGCACATCTAGATTGTCTCAAGCATGTCTTAGTTCATTCTGTGTCGATCTGCAGCTTAATCTGACCTGCCTGTGCTAGATTGTCTCAAGCATGTCTTAGTTGAAACTGTGTTGATGTGCAGCGTGATCTGACCTGCCTGTGCTAGATTGACTCAAGTGTGTTTCAGTTGAAACTGTGTTGATCTGCAGCTTGATCTGACCTGCACATCTAGATTGTCTCAAGCATGTCTTAGTTCATTCTGTGTCGATCTGCAGCTTAATCTGACCTGCCTGTGCTAGATTGTATCAAGCATGTCTTAGTTGAAACTGTGTCAATCTGCAGCTTGATCTGACCTGCACATCTAGATTGTCTCAAGCATGTCTTAGTTCATTCTGTGTCGATCTGCAGCTTAATCTGACCTGCCTGTGCTAGATTGTCTCAAGCATGTCTTAGTTGAAACTGTGTCGATCTGCAGCTTGATCTGACCTGCCTGTGCTAGATTGTCTCAAGTGTGTTTCAGTTGAAACTCTGTTGATCTGCAGCATGATCTGACCTGCCTGTGCTAGATTGTCTCAAGCATGTCTTAGTTCATTGTGTGTCGATCTGCAGCTTGATCTGACCTGCCTGTGCTAGATTGTCTCAAGTGTGTTTCAGTTGAAACTGTGTTGATCTGCAGCTTGATCTGACCTGCCTGTGCTAGATTTTCTCAAGTGTGTTTCAGTTGAAACTCTGTTGATCTGCAGCGTGATCTGACCTGCCTGTGCTAGATTGTCTCAAGCATGTCTTAGTTCATTCTGTGTCGATCTGCAGCTTGATCTGACCTGCCTGTGCTAGATTGTCTCAAGCATGTCTTAGTTCAAACTGTGTCGATCTGCAGCTTGATCTGACCTGCCTGTGCTAGATTGTCTCAAGTGTGTTTCAGTTGAAACTGTGTTGATCTGCAGCGTGATCTGACCTGCCTTTGCTAGATTGTCTCAAGCATGTCTTAGTTCATTCTGTGTCGATCTGCAGCTTGATCTGACCTGCCTTTGCTAGATTGTCTCAAGCATGTTTCAGTTGAAACTGTATTGATCTGCAGCTTGATCTGACCTGCCTGTGCTAGATTGTTTCAAGTGTGTTTCAGTTGAAACTGGGTCGATCTGTAGCTTGATCTGACCTGCACATCTAGATTGTCTCAAGCATGTCTTAGTTCATTCTGTGTCGATCTGCAGCGTGATCTGACCTGCCTGTTCTAGATTGTCTCAAGCATGTCTTAGTTCAAACTGTGTCGATCTGCAGCGTGATCTGCAGCTTAATCTGACCTGCCTGTGCTAGATTGTCTCAAGCATGTCTTAGTTCATTCTGTGTCGATCTTCAGCGTGATCTGACCTGCCTGTTCTAGATTGTCTCAAGCATGTCTTAGTTCAAACTGTGTCGATCTGCAGCGTGATCTGCAGCTTAATCTGACCTGCCTGTGCTAGATTGTCTCAAGCATGTCTCAGTTGAAACTGTGTTGATCTGCAGCTTGATCTGAACTGCACATCTAGATTGTCTCAAGCATGTCTTAGTTCATACTGTGTCGATCTGCAGCGTTATCTGACCTGCCTGTGCTAGATTGTCTCAAGCATGTCTTAGTGGAAACTGTGTTGATGTGCAGCTTGATCTGACCTGCCTGTGCTAGATTGTCTCAAGCGTGTTTCAGTTGAAACTTTGTTGATCTGCAGCTCAATCCAACCTAGCCATGCCAGATTGTCTAGAGCTTTTCTGATTAGAAATTGTGGGGCTAAGCACCTTGATCAACCTGGCCTTGTTAGATTGTCTCAAGCATGTTTCAGTTGAAGATGAGAAGAACATGTGACAATCTCCTCTCACCAGTGAGGGGCAGTGGGGTAGCCAAGTGGTTAAGCGTTCGCTCATCACACTGAAGGCCTGAGTTCAATTCCCCACATGGGTACAATGTGTGAAGCCCATTTCTGGTGTCCCCCGCCATGATATTGCTGGAATATTGGTAAAAGCGACGTAAAAACTCACTCACTCTCACCAGTGCCTAGAAAATATCTTCCAGTTATTTTGCTCTTGCTCACAACCCTTCTGAGAAAGTCTAAATAAATGCATTTTGTGTACCAGTATTCTGTTGCAGTTCTGGCTTCTGTACATTGAAAACTTGACCTGGTCACAATGCCAGTATGCTGTTCCTGTTTAGGTTCAGTTTTCTAAAGTACTTAGACCCAGGTTCAAGATGAGGTGGATGGTTAGCCCAGCAGTTAAAACTGAAGTTTCACTTTGAATACGTGTTACCTCCCATATCTACAATCAATTTACACCTGATGGATGTAGTGAAGGCAAAGAAGTAATGGATGCTGCCATGTGCACAGGATGGGGTACAGCTTACCTAACAACTGCTTGGGATGACTCACATTTGTTCAAGTTCAAGAGATTTTAAAAACAAATTTAAACATTTTGTGTTAGAAAATGGCAGGAATTATGGTTATGATGTAATAGAGCGAATAGTCTTAGAATTATACACAGTGATAACTGTGTGATATCTGGTGTCCCCCTTTGTGATCTTGAGGAAGTATTGTCAGAATCAGCACACAACCATCATGGTGATCATGCTTATTCAACTGAATTATATTTTTATGTGGAACGTCAGTTTGTGGTCATTATCAAACAATTTTTGTAATTTCACATACATGAGCGTGAATGGTTAATGTGTAGTTATACAAAAAGTGTGATGTTAATGACACCACATGTGAACCCCTGTGAATAGTTGCAAAATTGCTTATCTGGCATTGAGCATTATTCACTCACTCACTCTGATGTGAGCACACCTGTACCCAGGCAGCTGTAGATTTCTTAAGATATCTTAAATGCCTAATATATAATACTCAAAAACGTTAAGGATCATGTGATGCTTTCATATTTCTATAGTTATCGGTCATACCATCAGGCACAAGTGTCCCTTTCCTTAAATTCTGTGCAGTCAAGCCTTGTTGAGTGAATTTTTTCAATTAGGTTTTATTGTGTTTGTTTCTCAGGCAGATAAACTCATGTTTATGTAAACATATTCTGTTGCCCAAGTAACACAGGTTTTCAATCAAACTTACTTAAATCAAGCCAACAGCGTTTGTTTGTCTTCAGTCAATGTAATTGTACTATGGTATAAAGGAGTTGGAACTGGTGCACAGGGCTTTGATAGTGGACAGGGCCTTGGTAGTGCACAGGGCCTTGGTAGTGCACAGGGCCTTGGTAGTGCACAGGGCCTTGATAGTGGACAGGGCCTTGATAGTGCACAGGGCCTTGATAGTGGACAGGGCCTTGATAGTGCACAGGGCCTTGGTAGTGGTGCACAGGGCCTTGATAGTGCACAGGGCCTTGATAGTGCACAGGGCCAGTGGACAGGGCCTTGATAGTGCACAGGGCCTTGAGTAGGGTGGTAGTGGACAGGGCCTTGATAGTGGACAGGGCCTTGATAGTGCACAGGGCCTTGGTAGTGGACAGGGCCTTGATAGTGGGCAGGGCCTTGATAGTGGACAGGGCCTTGATAGTGGACAGGGCCTTGATAGTGCACAGGGCCTTGGTAGTGGACAGGGCCTTGGTTGTGGACAGGGCCTTGATAGTGCACAGGGCCTTGGTAGTGGACAGGGCCTTGATAGTGCATAGGGCCTTGGTATTGGACAGGGCCTTGTTTGTGCACAGGGTCTTGGTTGTGGACAGGGCCTTGGTTGTGGACAGGGCCTTGATAGTGGACAGGGCCTTGATAGTGCCCATGGCCTTGATAGTGGACAGGGCCTTGATAGTGTGCAGGGCCTTGGTTGTGTAGTGACAGGGCCTTGCTAGTCCACAGGGCCTTGGTAGTGTGCAGGGCCTTTACAACAGCGCCAGAAGACAATTGTTTTTAACTGTTACACTGCCATATACATGCATTGAGGGTGTGATAGTCTGTCAAGACTAGTGTCACAAAGCTCAAGAAAGCTGCTTTGTCATAAGGTAATGTCGACTTTTTATTGGTCATTCCATTGCTTGGTCAAATGTCATTGTGACATGATCTGCACTGGGTCTTGTTCAGACCTATGTGTAGTGCTAACAAAACCCAAGGGTCTTTTCATGAGCTAGATATACCAGTGTAGGAAAGATGTAGAAAATCTAGCCTGTCCACAGGACTGGCAGGTCAAATGTTTTACCAGTCCTGCCAAAATCTAGCCTGTCCTCCAAATATAAATAAAACACCTTCGGCAGTAAATATTCAAAAAGGTTATAATCATTATATATATGTCATTGGTTTGCTAAAATTAACCCAACATGAGGACGGACTGTTTTAACCCGTCCTCCTCAAATATACACCGGACGTAACGGACTATCTATCCTACACTGGATATAGCACGGATGTAACTGAATTATTGTTCAAAACAGCCTTATACCAAATTCACTTCCTAAACCAATAGGGAGGCACTAGTTCTTGTTTGCTTGATGCTATTCCAAGTTTGTGCCATGAGTTTTTAAGATCAGGAGCTTTCACAAGCTGTTGATACATTCTTGAGTTACATATGGCATGTATGTTGTATGATGCTAATATTCATTGTGTAGAATTTCATGCCCTGGGCGGGCCAGAACGTTTGAATATGGGTTAAAATCCAAGATTATGTTTCAAGGTTTGCTCATGGGCTTACCTCGAAGTAATAACACGATGGTAAAAAACAAGGTAAAAGCAGTGATGCTATATGGCCTTCCACCCCACTGAAAAATACAGCCGGAAAAGACTTATACTGAAATTGAATATAGTTTCACATATTTCTTATCGGTTTTTGACAATATACATTTATGTTAGTGTTCAATGGGCCATATTGAAATACAGAAACCGTAATGTGATAAGAAGCTGAAAACCATAACTGATTATCCACTGTTACTGCCACACAACAATCATTCTTTGACAACCCTTTCGACTGCTATCTTTGTTTCCTGCCCTTGAGTAGGAGTGAAATGGTACGCTCTTACCATGGTACGGTATGAATTGCGGTCCAAGGTCATCGGTTTGGTCCGTTTCGGTTCGGTATAGGAGAAAATCCTTCCAGGCAAATAGTGACCGTTTAGCAGAGAAATGCATAAATTTTGACAAAATTATTAGATTTCTAGAAATTTTAGAAAAGGTTTAAAAAGATTAATAAAATGATGATACGAAAACTGAAAATATCAAAATTTTGGAATGCATTACGGTATACCGAACCGAAGGCAAAATATCGTGATTCTGCTAATACCATGGTATGCTGTTTCACCCTTACCCTTCAGGTTCGGAGGTAACTTTGGACATATATAACAATCAGATAAATACCATATGGAAATGATTTTAGTAGGAATGGAAGTTCAGGATATGTGGAAATAAAATGGGATGGTGCTTAATTGAACTTTTTGTTCTGAAATAAGATCTTTGTATTTTGGTATCCAGTGTAATATAAAGCACACCTATTATCATTGTCAAGATCTTTGACTCCTACATAGGAACTCGCCTCAGGTTGACTTTCTGATCAGCTAATCAGTGTCAAGGTTTCAAATTTCTCAATATAAACATAGAAATAAAGCATCCGGACAAGCTTATACGATTCCTCAGTGTACTGGCCAAATCTTAATGAAAATGAAAAGGCAGCACTATTATATTATTTTAGATATGTAATACCAGATAAGGTGTACCAGTACCAGCTGTGTTGGTTGCCATATATTTAATAATCTTAATGATCTAAAACTTAGAAATGGAACATAATTGTTTTGGAAAGCTCACATCTGATTGGCTGAAGAACCCACACATTGGGCTATCATTGTTCCCTAAGGTAAGGGGGCAGTGAGGAAGTCCAGTGGTTAAGGTGTTTGCTCGTCATGTCAAAGACCCCACATGGGTACAATGTGTGAAGCCCATTTCTGGTGTCTCCTGCTGTGATATTTGCTTGAATATTGCTAGAATAATGCTAAAAGCAGTGTAAACCTAAACTCACTCACTCACTCCCTCAGGTTCACCTGACACAACCCCCATGAAGTGGGTCCTCAGATCATAACTACTATCATACTGGAGAAAAACATCTGGGCCATTCAACAAAGACAATGTTTAGGTATAGGAGTTAAGATTGCCAAGAGTTATGATTCATTTGAGAAACAGAACCAGATTTTAATGAGCTTATTTGCTGACATGTTTGAGCTTGTCAAAATTTTCAGCATTCCTTTTTTTTTTTTTTTCCTCTTGAATGAGCCCATCATTTACAGACCCTGTATACCCACACGGAAACTATGGTGCAGCCGTTTCTTCATGGAAGCGTCCAAGATATCTGAAGCAGATGCACACTGTTTGTCAACACTGGATACAGTTTCCATCGTTGCACATACACTTTCATCTGATTCGACTTCCCGGGGCTGTGGTGTAGCCGAGTGGTTAAAGCTCGTCATGCCTAAGACCCAAGTTCGATTCCCCACATGGGTGCAATGTGTGAAGCCCATTTGTGGTCTCGTTCACCACCCCCCACCCCACCCCACCCCACCCCATCCCCTTGTGATATTGCTGGAATATTGCTAAAAGCAGCATAAAATAAAATTCACTGTTTTGACTACACCTTTGCACTGAAGTTACTTTTATGTAGTTGTCCTCCACCTTTAGATAAATGAAGCTTGTTCAACACATTAAGGAGAGGTATATAGCTTGTTCAAACCCTGATCATGTTATTCATACCATCTGTATGAATGATTATGACTGAAAATATGATTATATGACAAAGGAATCCTGTTTGAACTTGGTTAACAGTCAACATTGTCTTTTGTTGACAAAATCCC